TGCTCTGTGCAAAAGCACTGCACAAAGCAGTTACAGTTGCAAGAAAAAGTATGTGAACCCCTTGGGATTACATGGAGTTTTGCATGAATTGGGCATAAAATGTGCTCTGAACGTCATCTAAGTCACAACAATAGAAGAACACAGTCTGCTGAACATAATACTACACAAACATTAGATGTTGCCATGGTTTAATTGCACATAACATGTAAACATTCACAGTGCAGGGAGGAAAAAGTATGTGAGGCCCTAGCTTAATGACTTCTCCCAGAGCTAATTGGAGCCAAGAGTCAGCCAACCTTGACTCCAATCAGTGTGATGATATTGGATGTGTTGCTGACAGCTGTCCTGCCCTTAAAAAACACACACCTGTTTTGGGTTTACTGGTTTCAAGAAGCACTGTCTGATGTGAACCTTGCCTCGCAGAAAAGTGCTCTCAGAAGACCTACCATCAAGAATTGTTGACTTGCATGAAGCTGGAAAGGGTTACAAAAGTATTTCCAAAAGCCTTGATGTTCATGTGTCCACGGTAAGACAGACTGTCTACAAATGGAGAAAGTTTAGCACTGTTGCTACTCTCCCTAGGTGTGGTCGTCCTGTAAAAATGACTGCAAGAGCACAGCACAGAATGCTGCATGAGGTAAAGAAGAATCCCAGAGTGTCAGCTAAAGACCTACAGAAATCTCTGGCACATGCTAACATTTTTGTTGACACATCTACAATAAGGAAAACATTAAACAAGAATGGAGTACATGGGAGGACATCACGGAGGAAGCCATTGCTGTCCAAAAAGAATATTGCAGCACGTTTGAAGTTTGCAAAGAGCACCTGGATGTTCCACAGCACTACTGGCAAAATATACTGTGGACAGATGAAACCCAGATTGAGTTGTTTGGGAAGAACACACAACACTATGTGTGGAGAAAAAAAAAAGGCACAGCACACCAACATCAAAACCTCATCCCCCACTGTAAAACATGGCGGAGGGAGCGTCATGGTTTGGGGCTGCTTTGCTGCCTCAGGGCCTGGACGGATTGTTGTCATTGATGGGAAAATTAATTCCAGAGTTTATCAAGACATTTTGCAGGAAAACGTACGACCATCTGTCCGCCAACTGAAGCTCCGCAGAGGATGGGTGATGCAACAGGACAATGACCCAAAGCATACAAGTAATTCAACAAAACAATGGCTGCAACAACACAGAATACACCTTTTGGAGTGGCCCAGTCAGAGTCCTGACCTCAACCCGATTGAAATGCTGTGGCATGACCTTAAGAGAGTGATTCACACCAGACATCCCAAGAATATTGCTACACTGAAATAGTTTTGTGAAGAGGAGTGGTCCAAAATTACTCCAGATGATTGTGCAGGTCTATTCTGCAACTACAGGAAACGTTTGGTTGAGGTTATTGCTGCCAAAGGAGGGTCAACCAGTTATTAAGTCCAAAGGTTCACATACTTTTTCCTCCCTGCACTGTGAATGTTAACATGTTATTTGCAATTAAACCATGGCAACATCTAATGTTTGTGTAGTATTATGTTCAGCAGACTGTGTTGTTCTATTGTTGTGACTTAGATGACGTTCAGAGCACATTTTACGCCCAATTCATGCAAAACTCCACGTAATCCCAAGGGGTTCACATACTTTTTCTTGCAACTGTATGTATGATATATATTTTTTTTTTTTAATTGCCTTTAGTATCACTTTAAGGCTGCTTTTCCAAAAGCTTACAACAGCAAACTATAAGCTCTATGCCCAAAGGAGGCAGAGCATTTTGAAGCCAAGTAGTGCTGCAGTGAAGTCTACAGAAAGAGTAACAAAAGGAAGAATACTTCATCAAATCACATATAGATAATTGCAACGGCAAGCAGTGTGTTTTCTTTAGGAAGCAGCACCTGGCAACTGCTAGATGGCTCTAGAAAGTCCATGCCTGAAACAATTAATACCATACCTATATCTTCTGCATGCTAATAAACCACACTGCAAATACTTAATCATGAACATATTTTACCGTATATACTCGAGTATAAGCCGAGTTTTTCAGCACATTTTTTGTGCTGAAAAACGGCCCCCTCGGCTTATACTCGAGTCAACGTCTGCAGATGACATGCCGTCCCTGTCATCTGGACACACCCCCGGGATCAATCCTCGCCGGTGATTGGCTGTTGGAACTGTAGCTCAGGGAGAGGCACACAGGCGCCCAATCACCGGCGAGGAGGTGGAGCTTGGAGAGGAGGAGCCGAGCGGCACCGCGAAGATCGATCGAGTGAAGAGGAGGAGAGCGGCCGGAGAAGGAAGACATCTGACCGGTGTGTACCATGGGAGAGGGAGGGAGGGAGCGAGCGAGCCCAGGCTGGAGCAGGGGTCACCAACGATGGGGCACTATTCCTCCCCCCACTGACACCAACAATGGGGCACTATTCCTCCCCCCACTGACACCAACAATGGGGCACTATTCCTCCCCCCACTGACACCAACGATGGGGCACTATTCCTCCCCCTCGGCTTATACTCGAGTCAATAGTTTTTCCCAGTTTTTTGTGGTAAAATTAGGTACCTCGGCTTATATTCGGGTCGGCTTATACTCGAGTATATACGGTAGGTATGGAAAGTCTCAGCAAAGGCTGTGAGTAAAAAAGCCACTGAATTCAAATCTAGTGTTGCGTTTTTCTGGCTTCAGCGCAACCGCAAAGCTGACTGTCAGTGCAATTTAATGGCTTGGTGACATCTGTGTGACTTAATTTAACAAATGTCAATGCAAGTTGCAATGAAGTCGCAGAGAGATGGTGCAGGAACCGTTTTCAGTCACTGCGACTTGGGTCGGTGAGTGAATCGAATGGTTTCATTGCTGCAAATGGGGTGCGACTTGCCATGCGACTTTGAACTATCCAGTTGTATGACAAGTCGCACTGGTGTGAACCAAGGCTTAAAAAGCAGCAAGCATAGTAGGAAGAAGGACACTAAGAGTGCCACTGCATTGCTTTTCAGAACTGCAAGCTCTTTGATGCTACTGCACAAGCAAACACTTCTTGATACCTGTAAATTTACCTGTTGTCTTTCCTAAAGACAAGGCCTCTAACATGTATGATCAATGCAGACTACACAAAGTGCACTTTTAGGTTTACCCACAGCACGTGCCAATGACCCTCTTCCCAAAACAAAATTAAAAACATTCTTTTTTAAAGCACGTATACACACACGCATACACACAAAAGGGAATTCAATGAAAAGATCAGCATGCCCATGGAACAAAACATAGAAATACAGAACAATCTAGCATCAAGAAAGAAGAGACAGAAATAAAGTGCAGAGAAAGACAAATAGTTATGATTTGAAATGGTGTTCATTGTAGCCAATCACGGCTTTGCTGCATGTTAATCTCTGCTGTGATGTAGAAACAAGGATATGAATGAAGACTATCCGCAACTCCATCACAGCAACAGCTAACAAGTGTGCAACGGCTCCATCTGCTGTTTTAACCAAGTGTCTGGGTGGGAGGAGCTACATGCTGGTTCTGCCATCAGTGCAACAATCATCAACAAAACTGAATACTTTAATGTTATAAAAGTATCTAAATTATGTAGAAAAATGACAAAAATGTCTGAGGCAGCTGCCTGCCCAATAATGAAGTGTGGGGGAAAAAATAACACACACACACTAAAAGCTCTAACACCGAGAACTGAGGGATCACATGACCGCCGATCACTCAGTTCTCAGTCCATTCTGAAATGAGAGTGGTCACTGAACTGTCAAGTCACCGCTCTCTGCTATGCTTCTCCAGCACTCAATGGAGCTCAGGACTGAGGAAGGGGCAGGAGTGGCTGGCTCAGACTCTCAGTGGCACACTGAGAAGCTGTGCCAAGCTGCTGATCAGGCATCTGGGTTGATTCCAGCATTATTGTCGGGATCCTTCAAAGCCTAAACCAGCTGCCCTCTTTTGACACAGAATTCTAAGCATTACCCTCCTTAGTGCTCAGTACTATGAAAGGTTGCTGAAAATGGCTGATGTACATTACACTCACAATAGGCCAGGTAAACCCCCTACATTTTAATACCACTATTGTGTGTTCTGGATAGTTTTTGAAATTTTTGATGATTTTTACTTCCTTTCTGAAGCTACAATTTAACCCTAAGCTCCAGGCAGGTATTTATCATGAATAAAAAAATCATAACAAAAAATGTGAAATTTATTTTTAAATGCAGCTAGGAGAAAGTGACTTTAATTGCAAGATCTGCCTCTTATGAACCCAGCACAGTGGAAATCAGTGTGGAAGAGGCAGCACATCAGGTGAGTGACATGTAAGTTCACCGACAAGGAACCTGTTCAGGGAAGGACTAAGCATAGGGATGAGTCATCAACCCGCTGCTGTTCCTTCACTTTCCAATCACAGCCTGGGGAGAAAAAGGTGACCCCCTTCTGTATCTCATCTCAATGGTAAAAATTCAGCTTGCCAGCCCAGCTGTGCGATAAGAGCTGTGTAAATCTCAGACATTGATGCACAGAATAAATATCGTTTGGCACATAAAATGAGTCCCATGTATGAATGTCAACTGTGTATTTAGCTGTTTTTGCCTGAAGTTCAGCTTTAATGTGTAAAGTTTGTCTTTTTTGAGGGAGAAGGGCAGATGTTGGTCCAAGTGATTTTAAAGTAGATATCAGCAAAACTGCCCTTAGTAATCTAAGCACAAAAAAAAAAAATTACTGGTTAAAAAAGACCAGATGACACCCAATGCCACTGCTTCCTATTTAAATTAAAAAAAAAAAAAGTATGAGCTTTGTTGATTATAGGCTAAATAATTCAATAATTTGAGATTTTTTTGAGGTTTCACAAATTAAAATGGAAAGATCTTCAACTTTATTTAAAACAGTTGCCATTGTCACTCTTGGCAGTTACAGCATTTAATAGTATAGACTCTGTCCCATGTATAAGAGACTGGGCTAAGCACCAGCATGGCCGTACACTACACAGTCTGAGCTATGTCCCCACCAGTAGCATTACAACCTTGGCGGTCTTGTTGACTCTCTCTTGTAGCATTTTTTCAGTTGATGCCAATGCCTCCATTGCTTTCCAGTTTTTCTCCCGAAGGTCCTAATTATTTTTAGAAAAAGTTATTTCAGCGACCCATAAACTACAATCAATTCATGCGTCATATGGTCATTTTCATACTGAAGGTAACTTGCTGGAAAGAGGCCTCTTATTATTACGGGCTGCCTTAAAACTAGACTCTACCAATATTACCAGCAGATATACTGGATGCAGTTTTACACGGCAGCAACCATAATGCTCAACCAATGCTCAGCATATTATAGCAACAAAAGCAAATGCCAATGTTATGTTGAAATTTGAAACGCTACTATTGGGGCTCTACTTCCAATCTTGGCCAGAAGGATTGACTGTAAAAGTAAGGTTCACAGATAATACAGAGCAGAAACCAACCCACCAAAGAGAAACAAAAATTAGGCCAGATTTTTTCCACAAACAACACTCCGAAGCATATTTTTATCAATGGGGCTTGTCCATAAAAACTGAAGCTATGCTGGAATTTTTTCCCCACAGCCAATCAGGTTTCATGTATCAAAACAGAGGTGGGTGGACACTGGAGCCAAAAATAAAATGGCAGCAATAGTGAAGCAACCAGATTCCAAACTGTTTTAGAGTAAGGGTCAGTCCACTTAAAAAGTGATATTTTAGTTATAAGCTGAACCAAATTTGCGCCTGCGGTTTTTGGGTGTCCTTCCCATAGGTTTGCTCTCAGCTTTTCCTGTTGTATTCTACACAGTATAAGTAAATTTAACAAATTCAACATGGAGAATAGGGGCCCTTCATTACAGGCACAGCCAGTATGTAGAGCCAGGAATTTAGATTTCCCAAGAGAAGAAATAATGAGGTGGTGCAAGATGGTATCTCCCAAAAACTGAAACATCACTTTTACATGGACTGACATTTTTTAAAAAGCTGGAATGAAATTTATATGCATCCATTAAATAGTGACTCCAAAGACATGCTGGTAGGTTAATTGGCTCCTGTCTAAATTGTCCATAGTATGTATGAATGAGACTTAGGGACCTTAGATTGTACGCCCCTTGAAGGTTAGGGACCGATGTGAATGTACAACTATATGTAAAGCGCTGCGTAAAATTGACGGCGCTATATAAGTACCTAAAATAAATAAAAATAATAGTGAGGGAAAAGTGTAACTCAAGAGGAAGGAATACCAATCTTAGTGATGGGTGTAGAGATTGTAAGCTACTGCTGTGTTATCCTGACAACATTGGTTTTCTTCCAAATAGTCCATTCAAGTATAATCACTGGATGTGATGCATGGAATCATCAGTTTTTCTGATGGTCGATGTATAATTAACTGTTGTTGTGTGATATTTATACAAACTTGGCATGAAAATCAAATTTGGAACACCACTTGTAAGTTTTAAGGTACCAATGGGCACCAAAACACATTATCTTTAATCCCCATGAGTCTCTAACTAATACACATAAATGTCATTATTCTGTAGAAATTCAATAACTGCATGGATTTTGCCATTTAAAAAAAAGATATGAAAGAGTGTCAAAGCTCGATAGCTGGGGATGCATATGGAGCTTCACCTTCACATGGTGAAATAAAAAGGCAGCAAATGAAGCAAACAATATGGCAAACCAGCAAAATGGGATAAAATGCAGAGGCAGAAATAGTAAGGACATGATAGAGAGCTGTGAAGAAAATTTGAAGTAGCTATACTGTATTTCAATGATGTATTCAGGGAAGTGTTTCCTTGTATTCCCCTACAGCAGCCATTGGTACACAAGGCTTCAAGTGGAGCTCCAGACAAAAGGTTTTGTTTCTTTTGGATAGAGTAGACAAGCATTGGAACCACTATCAAGATTTTATTGCTGCAGAGTTTTACTCCCACTTCTTGAAATGCTTTGTATAAGTGAAGTAGGATTGGACCTCGTCAGCAATAGAGGTCTAAAGCAACTCGATTAGTGGAGAGTCATGGAAAAGGTTCCTTCAAATGTTGAAGAATCACAAGGCCTTGTACACGTTTTTTTTTTTTGTTTTTTTTTTAATGAGGCCAGCACTTCTCACCCACTGTCACTAATCCATCAGTAAAACCAGACAGATTCCAATGCTTCCACACTCTACTCAGAACTGAAAACAATACCTGGCGTTCTACCTTGAAGAAAAAAAAAAAAGTAATTACACACTCTGTGGAGGGAATAAAACTCCATAAATTTTTGAGGTACTCACATTATTCTTCTTCCTTTGTTGCTCTACTGAAGCTTTTTGAGATTCCACTTCCCTTAACAGCTCTGTTATAGATCTGTCTTTTTCTGCGAGTCTAAAGGCACAAGCATGAATCAGATACATATACTTGAAACACTAAAAATATTGTGTCCATACAGGCAGAGACAAGCTAAACATCCAAAATGACCAATCTATCTAAGAACTTCTCAGCAAAGGGCTTAAGTCTATTCCAGTAATAGATATTATCTATACAGTTGTGTTCAAAATAGCAGTCCAACACCACTAACCTGATCAATCACTGATTTGGGTATAAATGATATTTCTACATGGCAAATAATTTACTAGCAGGCGTAGTAGAGTAATAGAAACCCAACAGACCCAACAGTCATGACATGCATGCTGCTGATTCTGTGTAATTGAATTATAAAACCGCTTACCGACCGCCCTATAGCAGAACTACTGCTACAGGGTGGCAGGGCTGCACAAAATCAAGTATATATACACACACACATGATTTTGTATTTCTGACTAGAGGGCGTGCGTGCCCTACCCGCGCCACCATTGGCGGCGTCAGCTGTCGACCGGGTGATTCCCTGCGATTCACCCAGCGATCACCGAGTATCACTGACGGGGGAGAGGTCTGTATGTAAACAATACAGATCTCTCCTGTGTCAGCTTCAAACAGTAAAGCACACTGTAAAACAACCACAGCACACAGTTAACCCTTTGATCGCCCCAGATGTTAACCCCTTCCTGCCCAGTGTCATTAATACAGTGTCAGTGCTTTTTATTAGCACTGATCACTGTATTAGTGTCACTGGGGATGTCAGTGACAGTCAGTTTTTCCCCCCCCCCCCCCCCCCCAGTGTCAGAATGCCACCTGTAGTCCCGCTATAATGTCGCTGATCGCAGCCATTACCAGTATAATAAATAATCCAGTATACATATCGCCCTTTGTAGACACTATAAATTTCACATAAACCAATTAATTTACACGTATTGGGATTTTTTTTTTTTTTTTTTTTAGCAAAGACATGGAGCAGAATACAGTTTGGCCTAAATTGATGGCGAAATTTGATTTTTTTTAAAAATTTTTACGGAATATGTCTTATAGCAAAAAGTCAAAAATATATATATATTTTTTTAGCAAAATTGTCAGTCTGTTTTTGTTTATAGCGCACAGGTGATCAAATACCAGCAAAAGAAAGCTCCATTTGTGGGGGGAAAAAAGAACACATTTCATTTGGGAGCACCGTTGCAGCAAAATTGTCAGTTAAAAGTAACGCAGCGACGAATAACAAAAAATGGCCTGCTCAGGAAGGGGGGGGGGGAGTGTGTAAATCCTCTGGAGGGCAAGTGGTTAATTGAAGGGGCATATTCAAAATAAAAGCAGTGTGAAGTTCAATCAGTGAGGTCATTCAGTCCGTGAAAAAAACAGCTGGCCCTTATTTAAGAACGAAGGCAGCAAATGTACATACTGGGTATAATGCATTTCTCTCTGAAAATCGGAGCAAAATGGGTCACTCCAGACACTGTTCAGAGGAACAGCGTACTTTGATTAAAAATTTGATTGAAGAGGGGAAAAAATATAAAGAAGTGCAGAAATTGATAGGCTGCTCACCTAAAATTATCTCAAATGCTTTAAAATGGAAACCAAAACCAGAAAGACGTGGAAGAAAGTGGAAAACTACCATTCTAATGGATCGAAGCTCCAGGGTGATCAAAGAAGGTCTAAAGTTACCTGTGAGTTGTGTTATAATTAGAAGACGCCTATGTGAAGCCAAGCTATCTGCAAGAAGCCACTGCAAAATCCCATTGATAAAAAAAAAAAAAAAACGAAAAAAAAAAAACCAATGTGCTGAAGAGGTTACAATTTGCCAAAGAACATATTGACTGGCTTAAAGTGAAATGGCGCAACATTTTGTGAACTTGTTCTTTTTGGGTCTATTTTGGTTTGTCAGACGACTCCCAAACACTGAATTTAGGCCACAGTACACTGTGAAGACAGTGAAGCATGGTTACGCAAGCATCATGATATGGGGATGTTTCTCATACTACGGTGTTGGGCCTATTTATCGCATACCAGGGATCATGGATCAGTTGGAAAACATAAAAATACTTGAAAAGGTCATGCTGCCTTATGCCGAAGAGGAAATTTCCTTGAAAAGGTGTTTCAACAAGACAACGACCCCAAATACACCAGTAAGCGAGCAACATCTTGGTTCCAGACCAACAAGGTTAACATTATGGAGTGGCCAGCCCAATCCCCAGACCTTTATCCAATAGAAAACTTGTGGGGTGACAAAAATACAGTTTCTGAGGTAACACCAAGAAATGCAGAGGAAATGTGCGATGTAATGCAATCATCTTGGGCTGGAATGCCTGTTCAGAGGTAATACAAAACAAGAAAAAGAAAAGGGCGCACCAGCCTTGCGCATTACCTCAGTGATGGCATTTTACTAGTAAAATGTAACAGATGTAAACTCAGAAACGCCAAAAATCACAAGCATGTAATAACCAACAGCCCATGGCCTGGAATACGGTCATAGGCTCCTCCCACCTACTGGTGGGTGGGTATAAGAATGGGGAATACAACTATGTGATGCACATGATACCCATACTCAAAAAGGCAAGAACATAATATAATGACACCAATGGGTGAGAAGGACAAGGTATATAATGGCTAGTGTTACAGCATTGCAAATGGGCTCTGAGGAAGAGAGGATTCTCCCTCGAAAAGCATCAAATTCTTTGAGCGTCTCCTGAATCTGGGACTCGCACAATATTCCAGGCCATGGGCCATTGTTGGTTATGACATGCTTGTGATTTTTGGCATTTCTGAGTATTCATCTGTTACAATTTACTAACAAAATACCATCACTGAGATAATGAGTAAGGCTGGTGGTCCCTTTTCTTTTTCTGTGTAGTGCTTTTCTGGGCTTCCCCAGCATTACCTGGCTGGATTGAATGAAAAGGTCAATTTAGATCTATCCACACATGCCTGATCTGGTCTTTTGAGCACAGGAGGGTTTCTCTTCTACCTGCCAGAAGTTGGTCAAATCCATGCAACACAAATGTGAAGCCGTTTTCAGAAACAGTGGTTATACAACTAAATATTAGTTCAGTGATTCACAGGAAACCTAAATCATCAAGCATTTTTCAGTGTATACAGTAAATGTTTGAGTTTGTAAAGAAAAATGCAAACACTGCTATTTTTTTTTTTGAACAGCTTAATATTCCTTTTTCTAAACTCTCTGTAAAGTAAGAACACATTTGAAACATTTTTCTTCATGCTTTGATTTGGAATAGACTACGCAGTGTTCCCAATGTGTTTCTGTGTATGGAAATAAAAGCTATTAGAAGGATTTTGAGCTTTACTCACTTTTTTAAATACACTGCTATTATTTTGAACACAACTGTATGACAAGGTTGGATACATATAGACTCGGCTAAGTCTACATGTATCCCAGGACCGCCACGAAGCGTATGCAGTTTACAGCTATGGCGGCGATCAGCTAAATTGACTCTACGCTGTGTTTTAGGCCATCATCACCCTCTCTTTAGCCACTACAGCCATTAGCATGTGTACAATATGATTCTGCTGCCTTAGTAGCTAAGGAGAGGGGGGTAAAGCTGTGGCTATACTGCCTATTTTTACCACCTCCCAACCACAAGTGTAGAGTAAGCCTTCGTTTCATTTTAAGTGGGGGAGCTCAGAAATAACGCAAAACATAATTTATGACAATCCAGTTTTCCTTAAATCAAGCTATTTTAACTGACTGTTTTAAAAATATCCATATGCACATTTTCAGCAACTGTCAGTTACTTGGCTCATATCCCTCCAGCCATTCTGTGATCCAATACAAAAGAATACCAGAAAAAATGGGTGTATAGAGCATTTCAGCAAAACCATTTTCTGCAGCTAAACTAGTTTTGTTTCCGTCAAACTCCCTGTCCCTCTTTAGTCAATGGCATTACAGAGGTATTCCATTAAAATAACAAGGTACATTTATCTAATCATAACTCAAATGACTTCAAATATAAAAACTTACGCTTTTAATAGCTCTTCACTTTGAGCAACTGAAGAAACCTGAAATGAAAAGACATTAGGTATTGACAAAATTGTAGTCTAAGGAAAGAAAATATGCATGGTAAAGCCAGTACTACATGGGACTAGAGGATTTATAGCTAGCTCGGGGGAACACTAATATACCGGTCTACAGTTTTAAAATGTAACCATTATGTATTTCACAATCAACAAAGGGTCTTCAGCACCACAAAGTTATATGCATGCTCTGCGACGTCACAAGTTTGCCGAACATGAATCACAAAGGCCACACTGATGCTACTGTAAATAATGTTTCATGGAAATAACCTATTCAACAGAATGACCACATAATCCAACCGCAACCCTCAGCAAGATTTCAATCAGTGCAGTCACTTACTAAAATAATATGCATCCAAAACACACTAAAAATATAAATATTGTATGGTGTAAAATAAGATACAAATACACAAGTTTTTCTAGTGTCTTATACTGTACAATTAAGATATTATGGTGATAGAAAAGGGTATTTTTTTTTGGTAACAAAAAAAAATTCCCATTTTTGAGTTCATTGAAGGACACAGCTCTTCTATTCCTGACCATAGAGTTTATAGCACCACCTTCAGGAGTAGGACACTAGGCAGAAAATGAACACAGCCCCACCTATGTGCAAGTCCTAGCTGATAAAAAAAACCCTCTCTGCGATTGGTAAGCCTGCCAGTCACAAAGCTGTGCAAGAAGATAGAAAAACCTCAAGAAGAGGGGTGGGTGCTGTGTTTGTCAACAAACTTATAGAAAGGGATCTTACAGAGAGTAACCGAAAAAAAAAAAAATCTTGTTTTCTCTTACATTCATTGACGGGCACATACACAGCTCTTCTATGCTTGACCATAGGGCCTTCCCAAAGCAGAGAGGTGGGCAGCAAACCAAAAGAAAGAAAAAACTGGAGCAAGCAACCTAACATGCCATTCACCCTTCCCCCCCCCCCCCCCCCCCCAAACCCAAGGAACCCTAAAAAACCCTTTGAGATATCACAAAGAATTTCACAACGTACTTACCAGCCCTTTCTAACAGTTTATGGTGAAAACAGAGGGTATGGTTTCTAAACTCTATGGCTACTTAGCGTTAGGACTGCAGTATACATAGAGGTCACTGCGTCTTACACACGTATATTTGCAAACATGTGCAAACAAAACCCTTTGTTTTGAAGGAAACCGGTTAGACAGGGCCAGTTTGGTGGTTTTGCAGGCTGGCTGGAAAATCCTTTGTTTGTGATGTGTGTTGCCCTTCCAACTGCACCTTGTTCCTAAAGCCACTTATAGGTTGGGGTTGGTTACCACTTTTTTCTACAACCCTTTGAGATCGCAGTAGGGAACAACCCGAACCCACTCAAAAGGAGGCTTCTGAAAGACCAAAAGAACCAAGTTCAGGGCTCAGAACGATGAGTGGGAACGCACAGGAGGTTCCACATTGCAAACTCCTTGGATGAAGGTACGAACATGTGACCAAGGTTGGCAGAAGGAGAATGCCACTGCAGAAAACTGGCTGTCAATGTTACCCCAGGCAAGCATCTGTTCAATGCCTGCTAGAAAAGACCAAAACCCGAGTTACCAAACAGGGGCATGGATGGACACCCACAACCTCACACCAGGCGATATAAGCCATCCAGGTACCATGATAAATCTCCTGAGAGGTAAACCTGTACGTTTGCAACACAGTCTGGATCATCGAAACTGAAAACCCCCTTACTCTGACAACTAGGCTTAATAGCCATGCACTCAGAGGCAGAAATGGTAAGCAAGGTGGAAGATCGATTCTTGGTATGAAAAAAAATCTTCCCAAACGAGCCACCGCCAGACAGAAATTGCGACCAGCCAGCCACCAGAAAGACTGGAACCCCATCAGCCGCTACCCAACACAGATGACAAGGAATGAACTTGAGGAGGAAATGCATAAATGAAACAATACTGACCCCACAGTGCCACTAAGTGTGTCTGTCAGGGGTCCCTCACTCTTGCCATTAACCTCAGCACCTTCCTGTAAAGGCGAGACACCAGCAGCTTCACATCTAATATGTCCCAGCATAGGCAGATCTGACAGAACACGTCCAGGTGGACCACTCTCCCTAATCCTGCATCTGACGATAGATGCAAATAACCTGCCAGTTCCCAATGCCTGGAATGTACACAACGTTGAGAGCTAGTAAGGTAAAGGTAGAGGCCTCCCGTGCAGCTGTTGAACGCCTCAAACTGCCCTGGAGTTAACATAGACCACCACAGTGCGTCGTCTGATTGGATCCTGATCGGGTGCCCTCAGGAAAGGTCTAACTATCCAGACACAGCCTAATCGCTTGAAGCTCCAGGACAGAGATGGGCAAATCGAGCCTCGTCTGCCGTCAACGACCCGGAGCTGAACTCAACCCTAGGACCACCCCCCTTTTGGCCTGCACTGAGTCAGACCCAGTATCAGACATAGATACTCCTGCCCTTTGGTCAGGGACAAAACGGACTCTTGATGGAGGATGAGCAAGTACGCATCCACAATGGCAAGGGAGGCAAGAAAATTACCCTGATGAAGGGAAGTCACCACAGAATGGATGGATTCCATTTTGACTACTGCACCCGCATGGTAATTCAGGGCCTTGAGGTCCAGGATTAGACTATTCCCATCCACTCCTGGAACTGTAACCAGGTTGGAGTAAAACCATCGTGACAGCTTCGGCTCGCGGATCAGGACAATCACTCTATGGAGTAGCAAATCCTGGCCTGCCCCATACAGGGCACACAGACAAGACAAGGGAAGACAAAGACTGGACAGGAAAAATTGCTCCAGAGGAGAAGAAGAAAATTCTATTTTGAAAGCCAGACAGAAGAAGCTTGTGGGTCCAGTTGTCACAGATGAGGGAGGCCCATGGGCTTGTGAACCAGCAAAGAAGACACTTCCCAACCCCACCCTGGAAACAGATGGGACCAAACCTTAAAGCTGAAGAGTACCTGTTCGTGGGCTTTGGCCCATGTGAGGCCAAGAACATTTCGCACCAGGTATTTCGGGTTCCTTGCAAGGCTTGGAGCCCTTGCATGAGGAGCCAGGAAGGGTAAGACTGCCCGTACAGGCAAGCAGATTTGCTGACAGACCTGCTTGGCACCAGCGATCTGTTGAACACTAGTGCAATGCTCTAGAGGCTCCAGAAACACAAAAAAATTAATGCACTTTTTTTTACCTGCAAAAAAATGTGCATTTATCATTTTTTTAAAAAATGTGAATTTATCCTTTAAAAACGGTCTAGTGTCCTCTACATGGCAGTGTTTCGTATAATACTGTCTAGTGCCCTCTACATGGCAGTGTTTCATATAATACTGTCTAGTGCCCTCTACATGGCAGGGTTTCATATAATACTGTCTAGTGCCCTCTACATGGCAGTGTTTCATATAATACTGTCTAGTGCCCTCTACATGGCAGTGTTTCATATGAAACACTGCCACAGTATTATATGAAACACTGCCATGTAGAGGACATTAGACACTATTATATGAAACACTGCCATGTAGAGGACATTAGACATATTATATAATACTGTCTAATGTCCTCTACATGGCAGTGTTTCATATAATACGGTCTAGTGTCCTCTACATGGCAGTGTTTCATATAATTCTGTCTAGTGTCCTCTACATGGCAGTGTTTCATATAATACGGTCTAGTGTCCTCTACATGGCAATGTTTCATATAATACTGTCTAGTGTCCTCTACATGGCAATGTTTCATATAATACTGTCTAGTGTCCTCTACATGGCAGTGTTTCATATAATACTGTCTAGTGCCCTCTACATGGCAGTGTTTCATACAATACTGTCTAGTGTCCTCTACATGGCAGTGTTTCATATAATACGGTCTAGTGTCCTCTACATGGCAATGTTTCATATAATACTGTCTAGTGTCCTCTACATGGCAATGTTTCATATAATACTGTCTAGTGTCCTCTACATGGCAGTGTTTCATATAATACTGTCTAGTGTCCTCTACATGGCAATGTTTCATATAATACGGTCTAGTGTCCTCTACATGGCAGTGTTTCATATAATACTGTCTAGTGCCCTCTACATGGCAGTGTTTCATATAATACGGTCTAGTGCCCTCTACATGGCAGTGTTTCATATAATACGGTCTAGTGTCCTCTACATGGCAGTGTTTCATATAATACGGTCTAGTGTCCTCTACATGGCAATGTTTCATATAATACTGTCTTAGTGCCCTCTACATGGCAGTGTTTCATACAATACTGTCTAGTGTCCTCTACATGGCAGTGTTTCATAGAATACTGTCTAGTGTCCTCTACATGGCAGTGTTTCATACAATACTGTCTAGTGTCCTCTACATGGCAGTGTTTCATACAATACTGTCTAGTGTCCTCTACATGGCAGTGTTTCATATAAACTGTAACTCCTAGGCTACACATGCAGCTCTCCCTAGTTTGGAACGTATGTCTGCACTGTCCATATGCAATGCCTTACAAACCTGTTGCAACTGTTGATCATGTTTTTTTTTTGCAGTTCATTGGCCTGAATTTTCAAAATTTCATTTTCTTTTTTCAGACCCTGTCAAAAAAACATAAAAATAAAAGAACAATGAAGAGGTGGCCAGGGATAACACAACAACTGACAAATTCCTGCAGATCTGTTGCATTACCGTTAGTTCCTGAGTTGTGCCTGCAATGCTCCTCTCTCTCTCTCCAGTATTATTGCCTCCATATCCTTTATTTTTTGATCCTGTTTCACTCTGCAAAATATTTAAAAGAAAAGTTAAGTCTGTTATTGTGTGTTTATGACAATGCAGCATTCTCTGCAATTGAGATGAGCAAAGAGAATGCAAGAAACTAAAACAAGGGCAGTGGGAGAAGAAAAAGTACATGGAATAGGTTGTCTCTAGCACATTAGTTTCCAGGTTCCAAACCTTCTCCTGGTCGCTGTAAACTAGCAGACAGTTTAAAAGCAAACTACCAGCACACTAGCAATAGAGTCCAAACCCCAAAGCCTTCCTCCCTACCCTCATTTTCTTGAAAAGCCATTTCAATTAGCCTGGGCTGATGGTGGAGGAATATTCACTGCCAGAATATTGCATTCTGACAGTGGCACCTACCACGGTCAGAATACACTGATCAGCAGCTGTACCTGCTGCCTGACAGAAATATTTCCAACATGCGGGGAAGCCCACACAATGATTGAAATTTGGCTGGTCCCTGCTGGAGAGGCCAAATTCTGATCGGAATATGGCCATCTTAACTTCTGGGAGATTGCTTTTATATCTGATATACACATCCAGAGGACATTCCGTAGAGAACGGAAAAAAGTCCAAATTCTTCCTAATCAACTAACAAGGTAACTATGTGCAGTCCTAGTCAAGAATTTATACTTTTGTATACATATTTAAAGGATAAGTTCACCTTTGGAGCACGTTACACTTTCCACCCATTTCTAGGGTGGAACATGTAACATGTTTCCATGGCTGCAGTTGTGCCCCACCCCACAGATAGTACAGGGAGAAGTTTCCCCCTACAATCTGTCAGATTTGAAAACAGTGTGGCCGTATCACTCATTCACAGTGTTCTGTGAATGAGTGCCTACAAGTCCCGACAGTCTTAGCAGCTGTAGGCTTGTAGTATTCAATGAACTACCACGGCGCATTGGAGCAAAAAAAATGTGCATTTATTATTTTTCTCCTTATAATGGGTGTATCAGAATTGGGAACAAAGACAATGTGACCCCAGGTAGAGCACCTAAACTCTGTCCATCCCTCCCTCTCTTGGCATCGATTTGTCCTTTGCCTAGGCTCTTCAATATTTTCTCCTTTTTCCTTCGTTATCTGTTACTGTCAAACGCGAATACAGATTTACAAACAAATATAAAATTCTAGCCTTCATTACAAATAAACTAAAAACATGATGACACTGCAAAATAATGCAAACTGTGGCCAACACTTACATCCTCTGAAGGTTCGGTGCTTCTGTTGACCCAGAATCTTGCTATAAATGACAGATACAAAAACAAAATTACTTGAAAAGCACAATTCATTTTAAGTATTAAAATGCAGATAATCCAAAATGGATTTCTAGCAGACATTAAAGTAACCTTGTACTCCACAAGAATAAAAGTGAAAGTTCATCCAAACACTAAAACGTAAATCTACTCCTACCCCCATTCTAAGCCTATTCTAGCTACCCTGTAAAAGGAAATCTGAATACCTATGCAACTATTCTGAGGGCACTATGGTCTGGTCACATGATCATGTGACCAGACAAGAGCATGCTCAGCATAGGTAAATATACAAGGTATATATACAAGGTAGCTAGAATAGGCTTAGAATGGGGGTGTGAGTAGATACAGGTATTGTTAGTTTGACTGCAACTCCATTTTAATCCAATAGAGACTGTTCCCTTAGGCATCAGACTTTACATTGTAGCATGTTGGGGGGGTTGCATATGCATGCCTCATATCTGAAAGAACTACTTTTTCCTCATAGGTGCAGCAACAGATGAGGTGGTGGATGGCACTTTGTAGTGTGAAGCCGTTGTTGCCTTACTTTGCCCCTTTTCCAGCTTAGTGCTGGGTTTTCTTAATGTGGCCCAAAATCTTCCAGTCTTAGCTGACGGATGACAGTGGGTGTTTCCACACTAATACACAATATGCTTTTAATTGCATTTAACTAAATTAGTTTTTCAGATTATAGACACTTTAAAATGGCCAGGAGGTACGTGGATCTGGATAACATGGCACTTTTGTTAAAAATATAAATGAAGGTAAAACTGTTTTTTAGTTTTTTTTTTTTTTTTTAGTGAAGAGGGTGTAGAACCACTGCCAGCTTGTTATTGATGTGTCCCCGAAGATTTACTCTAACTGTACTGTTATTCATACCTGTTGTAGTCTGTGCTGGACTTCTTCAATGTGGACTTTCAACTGTGAACACTCCTTCTGCAAATCCTATTCAAGCAAAGACCAACCACACAGTTAAAATTTATACATAGGAGTGCAACATATAAAAGTAAAACATGTTCCCTTGCCATACTTGCCAAAATAAAAAGGTTCACATAATAGGAGTCACCACAAAATGATAGCACTCTGGCTGCCAGAACATCCCAAAACCCAAATCTGTACAGGGCTCAGCATGCATTAGCACACCTATGCACCCACTGCTACTTTAAAGGGGAGACAGGGAAGTGTCACATGCTCACCCATATCCTAAAGTACCAGATATTTCTCAGAGTTCTAGCAGTGGGTATCACGGGAAAAGGAAGTACTGTCTGCCTATACATACGAGTCAATAGGTGTGCTTTGAAAATGATATCAATAAGTGATGCTTTCATTTACCATAAAGTGCAAGTGCATATAACAGAATAAATAAATGAATACATAAATAAGAATTTCATCATACAAATAAATACCATTAAAAAATAGATACTGAATAAAGAAAAGTGTTCATGCCATCTACAGTTCATGTGACCATAGTGGATGCCAGTGCCTTCTAGTAAGACCAAAGAATAAATACATGGTAAGCACCTTCCCATGTGTATCCTCCACCACAGATCACACAGCATCTTACCAAATTGTGTCGATCTCTTGATTGTATAGAGATCAACATGCACTTTGTATCGATCAGACCCCTAGGAGACCACTTGCTTCAGCCAGTAGGGATCTCCAAACCTTCCACTCTGTTTATGCCAAGAATTAACAACGCACTACACTGGACTCAATTTATCCTGTGTACCTGAGCACTATAATGTAACATGTATTGGCATCTTCTGACCCAAGAACAGATACTGAGCTGTCATTTGGAGTAGTAGAAGCCAGTTCCCTTTGATGAATGTATAAACATCCTTTAGGTCCATATATCTGTGATAGTTGACTGGTTAGCTCTTGGGCTAGCTCCTTAATCTGATCATGCATCTGTATAATCCAGGAAATGGACTGGCTGACATGGAGCCTCCGATTCCCAATTAAAACAGGCAATACATTAAAACCTGCCTATGCATAGAGCAGACCTGTCATTTTGCCTAGTATTAAACACATAATCACCTCAATCTGCCTTTCCTTCTCAAGAATCAGTTTCTCATGTTCATTAAACCGTTCTTCCTCCTTCTTTAAGGCCTCTTCTTTCCCCTTCAACCTAAGAAAAAAAATTAAGAAATAACAAGCATGCATTTAATGCTCTATAAACTACAGGATTTATGTAGAACTGCAAATGAAAACAGAAGTCGGACAATCTGCTCATCAGGCCTGCTTATGCTCACAAGAATCATTTTCTGTAAGCCTAGGTTCACACATCAGCGTTGCGGAAAAAAAGTTTGATTCAGCGGTGCAAGTTGACCAGCAATTAAAAAATGCAGTTTCCATGTCAGTTTAAAAGCTCTGTAATCTCTCCGTGGAAAATCAGATTGCACTGTGCCAAACTCGCACAGAACCCTTTTGTAAAATCGCAGTGCGAATCACCTGCACATATGTGAGCACCCTCCACAGAAACACTGCCTATTACAAATATCATCTGATTCTAGCTTGTAAAAAACGCATATATGTGAACTAGGGCTAAAAGGAGAAAGCCAACTTTTGTTTCAATGAATTTACAGAGTGGTTAGCCTCCTCTTGGAGAGTATTCAGCATTTATACCAGGTAAAAAGGATGGCGCTGTTTTATCTACTAGTACACGAAGCTATAAATGTATTGCTACAAATAATAAAATTTAAAAATACTATCACATCTTCACTTATAAATTCCACTCAGCTGCCGATAGGCCTCTAAGTTTATATCTAAACTGCTTTACACAGTAAATGTCCTTTTCAGTGTATATTTTTTACTGCAAGATAAACTCCACGCAGATAATATACAAAAAAAACAATGCATCTAAATTTTTAATGAAATCAATAAATTTATATTTATTGGCTAACAAAGATAGTGCAAGTATCCAAAGCAGTCATAATTTCTTAAAATCCCCTGTTCTAGCAGCTTTTGACTGGGAGAGGTAAGGCCACAACTTGGAGGCAATCAGGTTCTGCTGCATGCACATAAGCCGACAGCGATTGTACTGACAAGCTAAAGGAGCAGCACGATAGCAGCTCTTGAATCTTTGCTATTGCCTTAATGTACAATCAGCAGACGGGGAATGCATTCTTGACCAAGACGTGTGTCTACTGCAGTGGAGGATGAGGATCTGGCTATGCTACCTGGGGAGAGTATCTTGATCACAAAACTGACTTAAAGGAATTACAAATCACATTATGTAGTTTGACTACTTATTCAACTGCTTGCCCAAAGATCAGGTTTTTTTTTTTTAAATAGTTTATCGTTTTCTAAATTGAAAAAGTTACAAAACAAAAAACTTCGGGGCATTCCCTGGCTCAAAAAATATGAAACTACATTAACACCCATAGTCCAGCTCAACCAGAACAATCCTCAGTGATGAGGGCAGGAGTATACTCAATAGGATTGGAAACAAACAGAAATTTTGGAAACATTGAAGAAAGAACTTTAGAGAGATCAGGTATCTAATTGAGTATATTGGACCAGTTCACAAAGAATACTGAGAATAATTCTACTAGTTCTCTTTGTTTACGAGGAGGGCTGGAAAGTTGTGTTCGCCATAATTCACCCTGTTTGTACAGTGCTAGCAGAATGCATCTTATCAGTTGTAAACTAAATTTGACCACTATCTACCCAGCTTCTCTCAACATTTGCAACACAGTTATTAGCCTTGAAATAACTTTCTGGCCTCTGGGAACCCCTGCTAAAAAATTATTATATCTACAACTCATGATAGTGTGGGAAGGTCAGTCAGAAGAATGTTCCTTACACTTGTGGTCACTGGGAAGAATTAACCCTTACAGATATCTAAAAGGATCAACAGTGTAAGTGGGAACATACCTGAGAGGCAGAAATTGCGCAAGGACACCCAGCAACCTCTGGAGGAACACTAGAGTTCCATGGAACCAAGGTTGAGAAACCCTGGTCTATTCTAAAAAAGGGTAAAGCTGGCCATAGATGAGCTGAATCTCTGCTGGTTCAGCAGGGACCGGCCGAGATTCAATCCATGTATGGGCAGGCTGACTGTACCCAAGTTAATCCATCGATCGACTTAGGTACAACGAGCATGTTGGATTTCTAGCATGCAATTATTGCCAGCGGCTATAGCCGCTAGTAATAATCACTGTGCTCTCATGGCAAGGATGGCTGCACACAAACGCCCCCCTTACCCATTGGGAAAACACAATAGCTCTGTGGGAGGGATTCCCCACCAACACTGCAGGAAAGAAAATTGCATCATCTATGGCCTGCTTTACAGATTTACAAGCTGGGTTTCTCTATTGTATGTTAATGACCGAGAGCTCACCCAGTCCCTTAGCCTTTTTATTGGAATAGATCACAATGAACTTGCTGAAGTTGAATCTTGCAGTTAGAAATGTAATTTTTTTTTATTTATTTATATAAATTTTTAAGTATGTTGCATGAATTGGAACACAAACACATAGTTGGGTTTTTCCTCAAACTTGACTACAAAACTGGAAATGCACGTTGAATCAGTGTTTAGCATTTCATCTTCTCAGAAACATTACAGTTAACTACAGCAACCTCTGAGTTATACATACTGATTTTGAAGGTCCTGAACTTGTGCAATACTGGAAACCTGAAAAAGATCAACCAAAAAGGATGACATAAGAAAACAAAAATCTTGGATCTTACAGGAGAACTTTTGTCTTATGATAAACGTTGGCATGACATAGCTGAGGTGGGTAGTGCAGAACACCCAGTAAATGGTTTACCCTATCAGTATATATACGCAGGTGGAACACTGCCCAATCTGAGCGTCCTAAACACAGAGTTGCTTTATTCCCTTTCCTCGGGGCAGATACCTACTTAAGGGGGTGGGGGGAGGAGAGAGGAAGGAGGTTTTTGTGCAAGACTGGCTCACAGTACATAATGCAAAGACTTGGAAATATAAGCCAGTCAACCCCCCCTAGTGAGAAGGCAAACACTAAAGTTGTAAACCCTGCCCCAGCCCTGTAAATGCTAGGCAGTGATAACAAGCTTTGCTACATTATTGAGGTATACAGTAAAAGGTAGGTTAGTACACACTATATCATTAAAAACCACCATTATTTTTTATTAACTCTAGAGCTTTAAAAACATTTTATGTAACTCATGGAGTGATGAGGGAACATCTGGTACACAGCACTTCATATATGTCACTGTGCGCAGTAGATTGGCAGAGTCAAAGCAAGAGTATGAACATAAAAAGTCAGTCTTCAGTTAATAGGAAAGATATAAGTTAGAACTGCCTCCTTGGCTTCCTTCAAAAGATGAAAAGCTTTATAATTGTGATCCTCTGCAAAGTTCCCGCTGCCTGGCACCCTTCCAGCCCTCAGCTCCCCTCTGAAGCATACTGGGAAGTTGGAAAATACCTACAGACTTCTATAAGCCTGGCTTCTTCAATCAGCATGCTGTAGAGTGGAGCTCAGGGACTGGAAACGTTCCAGGCAGTGATACTCTGCAGATGAATTTTTAAAGCAGCTTCTTTACCAAAATTAACCTCATCACTGCAGGCCCAGAGCCTCTGTTTACAGCCTAACTATGGAATCATTCCAATTAAGTGCCAACAGAGACTTAGGTGAGATCATGGTCTCTTGTGGGACCTGCTCCCACTGTGCTGGCTACTTGTTTGATGATGAATCCTTACTAAGACCACTCAGAGCTGTTCTATGTCCAGCTTCTGCTGTACTTTAGCTCAATATGTTTGTATGCTTGTTACCTGTTCAGCCTTTTCAAGCTGGCTGTTTCCTAAAGCTTCCTTCAGTGCTTCAATTTCTTTAGTCAATGCCTTGACAGCAACAAAAATAAGACAAATGGGAGACAAGACCACAACACTATGGTACACAAAAACAAAATTGCATGCATTAAAGGTTCATGTCCAGAGTCACATGAGAATGTATGGTGATTTATTACAAATCAACAAAAAAATGACAGCTGTCCAGTACCATAATGCTTTTAGCAGTCAATGTTGTTGCGCATTACAAGGACCAACTGGTGATAAGCAAATCGACTTGGAACTCAATATTCATGAGCCGTGCATTATGCATTGGACAGGAGATGAGTGCACACATATTAAGGGGGACTGCAATGAGAGAAGAGTGAGATACACTGCTGAATTTTGTTTAGTTGTTGCCTCTAATTTCACTATATGGTTTAAAAAAAATCATGTTCCACATGGCATGGCTTTCTTTAGAAATGAAACTATGTGATCACCATATCCATGTTAACATGGTATTCAATGGCTCTGAGATAAACAAAGCTGTTCGATGACAACCGCAAGGCAATAACTTCAATTTTATGAAGAGTGGATGGCATCTCCCAGACTATTGTCAACATCCCAAATATAATCTACAAAATGTAAAAACGTATTAATACACTTTGTACAAGGCGATGACATTTGGCAGAGGGAAAGTTTTTAGCTTTCTTGATCAACTATGGTAATTGTAAAAAAAAGCAGCCCACAAAAAATTTAAATTTGTATGATAAAGGGGTTTAATTTTTACATGTGTTTTCACACAAAATCCACACAACTTTCACCCAAGATAAACAAACGTTTTCTAATTTATATCAACTGAAAAAAATGTGTGGCTCCTGGGTAAAAGTTATGGGAATCTTGTGTAAAAACATTTTATAATCAGTCTACAAATACTTTAGAGCAATAAATAACAACCTAAAAATGTAAATGGACCAAAAACTTTCCTTTCAAAATATGGCCTAAGGGAAAAGTAGGTCTGCTGAAATCACGAAATAAAAACATTTCACTTATTTGTTTTCCCCTTGCTATAGAAGAGAATGTTTAATTAAGGAACTGGGCATTGTGAAAGAACATGTGTGTGCCTACATCCAACCTCTCCACTACATCATGACACTAAAGCCTTGTGGTTTGCATAGATGTGGGGGTCATCAAGCAAGGAGCCAAGTGTAATGGACATACTGAGATTGATTTATCAAAAGGTAGGTAGGTTGTTCACTAGCAAGACAATTTCCCCCTTGCTTAGTGAAAACGTTGACGCTCTGCTGCCTTCTATAATTGAATCAAGAGCAAGCAAAAATACGTTTTTCCCCCACACTTTCCTTACACATGATTCAGAGTTCTTTTGCAAAGTGATTTTTTACCATATTCACCAGGCTACGGGAAAATGTCCCATGCGAAGTGAAAATCTTTGAAAGTGAACAGCCTATTACCTTTAGAAAATAAACTCCATACTGTCTAAATAAGGGTGCAATCCTATTTTGTACCTGAGCTCGTAATCACAGACCACAGAGCGCAACATATCTGTATGAAGCTTAGTGTTACACTTGTGACCCGCTTTCTACTTCAAACTTGTGCATATAAAAATGTTGGGTGTCTTAGACCTTTTCAGTCTCGTTTTATGCTAATATGGCAGAGACAAGCTACATTTTTACACCAAATCTTTCACAAATATTATAACATCATACATTCTTTTATTGTACTTTGCTTAATGAATGTTAGCATGCAAATACATGAAAACGATTGAACGCTCATAAACACAACAAATTTCTATTCAATAGTAACAAACTTGGAGGATTAATATTAAGTAAGTACCTGTACAGTCTTTCCCTCGTTATCAGCCCGTAACTGCTCAGCTTGGAGCAGATCTTCTACAGACCTGATTTTGCCATCCTTTTCATGGATGCTAGAATAGAAACGGTTAATGTTTACTTTAGGCAATTTTTTTTTTTTTTTTTTTTAAATATTCATATTGTACATATTTTCATATTGTATATTTACTCTTGTGCCACAACTACAGGCACCCACATCAAGACTGAAATTTAGTTCCTGGTAAATCAAGTAATCTGACCTCACAAGTGATAATGTAACAGGTACGTCACATTGTTTATAGGTAAGGACTTTCTTTCCTCTAACCATCGGCCTACAATATTTATTGAGGTTAAAAGTCATCTAAAGCCAAAGTTTTTTTGTGTAATTTTGGATAGAGTGGTGATGGGTTAGACCAGGGGCGGACTGACAACTCATGGGGCCCCCAGGCAATAGGGGATCATGGGGCCCCTGTGTCCTTGCCCAAACTCAAAAAAGCCTATGAAAAAGGTACCAAGGGCATCTCATGGGGCCCCCTACTGACCCCGGGCCCTCGGGCGGTGCCCGAGTTTCCAGATGGTCAGTCCGCCCCTGGGTTAGACCCACTATCGGGGTTTTATTGTTTGTGAATCCTGCTGTTGAGATTCACTCAATTTGTCTAAAACCTAATGGTTGTCACTCGAACAAGAATTAAAGAGAAAAACTCCTGTGGGAACACCCACTCCTCTGTGACAACTGTCTAAAAGGGTAAATCCCCTTACTTTGAACAGAATTTCTATCACTGCCTATGGTATCTCTGGGACAGATAGTGAAGGGAAATCTCCACAGGGCACACAAAAAAAAAAAAAAAAAAAAAAAGCATGACAGGTGTTTGCCATTCCCTGCATTTTCTAAAACTAAAGAAAAAAGTTTTAGCTTTAGAAACATTTTCATGGGTCGAGACACAGTGTGTAGGCAAAGGAATTGTGGCACTCTGGCCTAATTTGACATTCAAAAAAAAAAAAGGCAGAAGAGAATAGTGTTCCCATCGGACAGAGCAAGCTTCTTCCATTTCATTCTTTAAATAATAAAGTCGCGGACTCGTAACAACATTCTTGGTCGAGCTATGCTATTAATTTCCATCTTAAATTAGCCTTGTCCGAAATGAACTCTGCAGGCCTCTAACTTGTTCAGAGGTCCCATACTCAGCACTTTATGCTGAAGAACGCGGACACTTACACGTGCTTTAGATCTTCTACAACAGATGACAAGGCTACCTAAAAGGGAAAAATACAAACCGTCATTACAAAGGTATAAAAGAACCGGTACATGCTTTATGTGGGGCTGACAAACCTACCACCATTTTTATGAAACCATTACCTGGTCATTATGCCGAGCCTTCAGATTCTGCACATCCATTCTTAAAGATGCATTTTCATCTCTCATCAACTAAAACATAAATCATTCTAATTAAAATAAATGCTAATACTATCAAACAAACTAGTATTCGATATCAGACACCTACAGATTACTTGAACACAGGTTCAAGTAATGCATGAATCTGATATCGAAGTGATTTTATGACACACCTGTAGCTACAGTAAATGCTTGGATAAAGACAAAATTCCCCATAAACAGTATTAAAGTGCATCTAAACCCAAGAACATAAAGGAAAAAAAATATTATATTGCAGCTTACAAGTCTGTAGATGTGGTGGCTGCATTAGTTTTTCTTTAGACTTCGTTTTGTCATTTATTTTTATATCTGGTGATCCAAGTAACAGTGCTCATTTAGCATCATTGTCCGCCTAGGACAGAACTATAGAACCAACACCACTACCATCACCCCACCCACCTCCTCCTTCCATACAATTTGGGAGAGGTTCTGTAGTCGTAGTCAATGGCATGTTTAACAGGCCAAAAAAATAATAAAAGTGAATTGCAGGGTTTACATACAGTTTAATGTAATAGGAGTGAGTGCCAGTGCTTATCGTTTTGAAGTATTGTGCAGCATTTCCTTTTTTGACTGCCTGGCTACTCAATTACACCCGGCTGAAAAGAATTCTTGAGAGGATTCTATTACCTTTCTAGGTCAGAAAGAACTGCTTAATTGCTATATTTATTAACACCGTGTTTTCCTCTAAATGTTAAAATTAACCAAAAAAGTATTAATCTCTACCCTCAATTCTTCTTCCTTGTTTGCAACCTGTATCAGTCCAGTTTCCAAAAGTTCTTCAACCGTCTTGATCTTTTCATCTTTCTCTTGCATACTAAAAAAAAAAAAAAAATAGCAACAAAGCCTTTTTGAAAACTCATATCTATACAAAATGAATCCTCTGCTCTAGATATAGTGGTGCTATAGTGATGACATCTGTGGAAAGACTGGGACTAAAATGTAACCATAGACTTCAGTTATATACCTCCTGCTGTATACTATGCCATGCAATTGTACTATGATTCTCTCCATCAATAAAGTTGCTTTTTGTGACCAGAATTTTTTTTTTTCCCCATGACTTAGGGAGCATTCAAGCTTTAAGTAAAATAGAACACTAATCATTTACTACTCAAGGATCATGTACAAGGACATGTTGGGATCTAGTCAGTTTTCCTCTCCTAATGTGGTACAAATTTTTAAAGAACTTCATGATCACAAGATCTGAGAGTGAGAGACTTCAAACACTGAAAACCCACCTTTAAAATTGGTTGCAAATGATGAAGCTATTTTTTTTTTTTAACACCTTAACTTAATGCATTCTCTGCATTAAGGTAAAAAAACCTTCTGTGTCCAAGATCCCCAGCACCCCTCAAATGCTTACCTGAGTCCAATCTTGATCCAGCATTGTGCAGGAGAGCAGTGGCTCTATCCCTCTTCACTGGGCAGATTGATAGAAGTGGGAGCCATTGACTCCTGCTGCTGTTAATCAAATACTTTGATGAGGGAGAAGGGGGTGGGGGGAAAGAGGCCTAGCCCCACTACCTGTGTCTATGGACACAGACAGTGGGGCTCGAGAGAAAGCCTCTCCCTATGGGGGCAATCGCTGAAGAGGAGGTGCCAGGCGCACTGGCAGTGGACCCCAGAGGAAGAAGCTCAGGGATAATCTTTGCAAAACCATTGCACACAGCAGATAAGTATAAAATGTTTATTATATAAAAAAAAAAAAAAACCTTTAAACAAAATCACTTTAAGGTGCAAGTCTCAAACTTCTACCCTCTTGTATGTCCGCACAGATGGACATCTATGGGACCAGCACCAAACTCTGGCCAGCTGTGCTTGTGCCTCTTATACAGAAAAAAGAAGAAGCCAGTTTGACATGTACACTGCCATTGGCAAAGGCACGTCTGCCATTCCTATGACAGATGTGTCACCGCTTTCTGCATAAGGTGAGTGGCCAGGGGAAAGGGTTAAAGATAGAAGTGGGGGATAAGCAGTTGACCTAATAAATCTTAATTTGCACATCAGCAACCTGCTTTCTCTACATGTTTAGAGAAAGAAGGAATGCAATTAAAATGGACATAGCAGATTATAGTGGCAACACTAGGATTACATTCTTGGGCAAAAACAAACCTCAACTTGTTGCTTCATATAGTTCTGTACAACTGTAACTTCAAAAACATTTGCTGCTTTTAAGACACTTGTGTGTTACTGTTCAACTATTTCCTTTAATTCACAAATTCAAAAGCGGATTATACGACCACAATAAACCCCAACAATTACCTCTTCTCCATCTGCCCGAGTAATTCTTTGCTTGCCTAAAAATAAAAAATATAAACATTCTGAATACAATTTAATTACGTCATAGAGGCCATAAAAAATTGAAGAATATTCTTCTTTTTTTTTTTTTTTTTACCTGATCCAGTAACTGTTCCTGCAGTTTCTTTACTTGTACCTGTAATTCATTATTTAGACTTTGTAGCACCTGAAACAAAAATTACTAAATGAAACAAATTAAAGGATCAATCCACAAATGTTATAGGTCATTTCTGGTGGGCTGAGTCACCCATTGACTTTTAAAAGGCTTTAAAAGTAAGATCTCTACGCGACGGTTCATGGTTCTGTTCCCACCCATCAATGCCTGGGAGTTTGCACTCCTGTTGCATTCTGGGTAATAAAAACCCAAACGAAAACATCCAACAGAGAGAGAGTGAGAGTCTCTTGTAATAACCAGGGTCGGAGTATAGATCTGGGAATTCAAGTTCAGACGTCTCGGCACTGGAGTCCCTGACAAAGATTGACAGAGTCCAACCAAACACGTAACTCTCCAGCAAAGGAAAAAAAAGAAACACTAAAATTTTAAAAATAAGACCAGTAATGTGCAACTATTCAATCCCTTTTCTGTAGGGCCTCAGTCACACGGCTGATAACTTCTGTGTCCTGTGCAGGGTCATGTTTTGCTGGTATGGGGAGGCACGCAACCAGGGGCGGACTGACCATTTGGAAATGCGGGCACTGCCCGAGGGCCCGGGGTCAGTAGGGGGCCCCATGAGATGCCCGTTACCTTTTTCATAGGCTTTTTTGAGTTTGGGCAAGGACACAGGGGCCCCATGATCCCCTATTGCCCGGGGGCCCCATGAGTTGTCAGTCCGCCCCTGCATGCAACACCTATGCATCTTTGTACCAGCAAACATGACCCTGCAATCCCTAGCACTTCTATGGGCAGTCCCATAGAAGTCTATTGGGGGACACAGCTGCACGGACACAGCTGCTGTGTCTCAAGGGGGATGATTTACTAAAACTGTAGAGTGCAAAATCTGGTACAGCTCTGCACAGAAACCAATCAGCTTCAAGGTATTTTGTCAAGGCTTAACAGAACAAGCTAAAGCTGATTGGCTATCATACACAGCTTCACCACATTTTGCACTTTCCAGTTTTAGTAAATCAACCCAATGTGACATCCATGTGTGTGCGTGTCCCCAAACTGTGCCAACACATCCACATGGATGGGACCCACAGTGGCTGTGTTCATTAAGCTGTGCCAATAGACATCTATTGGTCTGCCGACACAGGAATGCAACATCTGTACATCCTCGTGCTGGCAAAACAAGGCCATGCACAGCACATTGAAACAATTGGCAATGTGAATGAGGCCTAAAAACGTAAGAAAAATAAATAAATAAATCACTACCTAAAGACAATTTGTATAATATATAGCATAACATAACATTTAATCATGTTTGACACTATGCAGTAGTAATGCGGACTCTGTCAAATTTACAGTTTATCTCTGCTGTCTTTTCGAGACCACAGCTTGTTGAATGTTGTGTATGCCCATATCTTTGTAGAGTTTAGGAATACTTAATTCTATTATTGTAAAGAGAAAACTGTAAATTTCTGTCCATAGATGGAGTAACAGCTGGTCTGTTTCGTAATGTATGTTGGCGGTCTCATTGCCCTGTTTATGGTAGTTATGAGATCACATTCGGATTTCTCAGGATTTTCATTTTCTCTGTTGGTACACTAATAGTAATCTCTGCCATCAGCTGAACAACAGGTCTCACAACAGGTCTGAGCATTAAGGAAATGTATGTCCATTCTGCTTCTGAGATTGTACTAGAAATTCTAGCAATATTACCCTCTGATGGGTTTATCCACTTAAGATTTTACCCCCTTCAAGACCAGAGCATTTTTTCTATTCAGCACTGTGCTACTTCAACTAGCAATTGCCTGGTCATACAGCACTGTACCTAAATTACATTTTTATAATTTTTTTTTTCAAATAGAGCTTTCTTTTGCTGGTATTTGATCACCACTGAGTTTTTTTATAAACAAAAAAAGACCAAAGAAATTTGAAAAAAATATTTTCTACTTTCGGCTTATAAAACGTATACAATAAAGAAATTTAAAAAAAATCAAATGTAGGCCAAAGTGTATTCTGCTACATGGTCTTTGGTAAAAAAAAAATACTAACTTTTCTGTTAAAGTTATAGCGTCTACAAACTATGGTATATACTGGAATTTAGACAGCTATGACACTACACTGGTAATGGCGGTGATCAGCGACTTATAGTAAGACTGATAGTGTGACGGGCAATCTGGCGCTAGCTGGCACTGCCTGGGAGGGACACTGACATCAATACTGACACTAAAAGTGATCAGTGTGAATATTGTATGCAGTCAGTGTACTAATGAAACTGGCTGGGAGATGATGTTGACATCTAGGGGCAATCAAAAGGTTAACTGTGTGCCTAACAAAGTGTAATGTGTGTAATGTGTGCTGCTAAAAGAAGTGGCTGTTTTTTCACCCTGCTTTACAGGGAGGAAAAAAAGCCACATATCTGCAAGTTGTTTGTAAACACAGGGCTCTGTACTGTGACTCACTAAACTGATCAGCAGGTCAGGACCTGCTGACCAACTTGTGCTGTACCAAATCACAGCACATAATGGACAGGGGGCACACACACGCACCCTATACCCGGAAATGCTGGATCACATACACGCAGGGCTGCCCGCTTGCAGCCAAATAACAGTGGGAGGGCTTTAAGCTGTTGAAAAAAAAAAAAAAATCACATTGGGTTTAAGGAAATGACTCTTACCATGGCAAGTCATACATGAGGAAAGCTTGTGCATGCTTTCATAAATGGAATGTGTAGACTCACTGTGCACTGTTAATTTGCATGAACCCAATGTTGTTGTAAATGTAGACTTTTATTTATTTCTACATAATCATTTACATTAATCCAAAAGATGCAGTAAAATAATTTATCTGGCGAGTACCTTGTGCTCCTCAAGGTTGGTGGTTTCTTTCCCAAACTGAGCTTCTAGTCTCTCCTCCAGTGCTGTAATTTTTTCATCTTTTTCAGTAACACTGAAGAAAAAAAAAAATATTCATAGAATTTAGGGTCAAATACTGCATACAGATATCTCTATTATCAAGTGCTATTTTTACCTTCTTTCCAACTGTTCTAAAGTTTGGGAAGCAACTTCCTATAAAAAGGAACAAAAAAAAAAAAAAAAATTACAAATATATTACAAATAAGAACATTTTTTTTCAAATGTAAAAATAAATTGCAAACACAAATTTTTTTTATTAATGGAGAGTTTAGGGTTTACAAAAATGTTGTTCATCCCTTGTGACAACAATAAGGTTAAAAAAATAAATAAAATGTAAAAAAAAAAATGAATTAAAAAAATAGTTTAAAGCACCCGTCCCCCCTGGGAAATGGACATGTACAGGATTTAGACAAAAAAAATGGAAACACTACATGTTTTGCAGGTGTGAAAGTGATGACATGTTTTGCTTAGAAAGCGGAAGTGATGTAACACTCTTGCCTCTGCTGTGTGATGAGACACCTTGCTAACAGATGGGAATCCTCACTTTACTCATTGACTGTGTGCACTGCTAGTAATACAGAGTCATGTCAGAGCTTACTGAGCTTCAAAGAGGTCAAAGGTTATGACGGCTTATACAGTTTCTGGGAAACAGTCATCCGATAAGCATAAGCACAGTCAACATGGTCAAATGAAAGAGAAAAGTACATTGCGCAGAATTGTGATCTGGAATAAAAAAACAACTGCTGCAAAAGTGACTGCAGAGCTCAATCTCAGTCCTGTGAAGACAATCTATATATCTGAAGATTACCTATAAAGGTTTTATAGATAATTTAAGCACCGTAGTTTGCCTCCATTTCACAGGAGAACATTTTAAATCTTGACATGGTTGGTATCTATTTATCAATATCATCTTTTATATTTTGCCAAAAAACGTGGATATTATATTGTGTCTGTGTGTGCTAAAATGCATTTCAGTGTATTTTTTTCCTGAAATTTTGCATTTGATAAACAGCTGCGCAAATTCCATGCAACATTAAAAAAACTGCAACAACCACCAATTCATTCTCCAGAGCCTCTGCTTTCAGTGGAGGAATTCCTTCACTGATACTGGGCACTACTCAATCCACTGACAGCAACGGTGGGTCACTGTTCCTCCCATCCCACTGACACCAATGAGGTATGGGCACTATCCATCCCAGTGACACCAACAATGGGGCGCTATTTTTCCCACTGATAAACAATGGGACCTCCCAATGACCACAAATATGGGGCTCTACTGCTGCCACTGCCTACATAATTCATAGTCAGTGGGAGGAACAGTGCCCCAAGGGACAGATAAATGCAACAGCCGCATGCAGCCTGCGGGCCACAGTTTGGATACTGCTCTAGTGGATAGTTAGAATAATAGCATCCTGGCAGCACAGACACCACAACTCTGTTCTGTTGCAACTGGGTCTTCAGAAGGGAAGGAGAAGGTACTTACTGCCAGAAAAGTGCTTGAAGATGAATTCCAAGAATGGTATATTTTCTACAAAGATACAATGGTCCAACTTAAACCAATGTGACTATGCATCTATGTAAAAACTATAACTGGCTGCTGGAAGCTGAAACTCACAGAAGACACCGCTATCCAGTGAGCTCTACTTGCTTCTGGGCCCTGTGCCGAGCGGCCAAACTGACGCATTCTAAACACAGGAAGTCAGCTATTTGGCACAGACCCTATTCAGAGAATGCTTTGCTTTCTCTGAATGAATAAACACATTCTCTGATTGGGCGAGGTGGAAAAGTAAGGTAGTAACATCATGTTCTCCACCTTGTCCAATCAGAGAACACTTGGCATTTGATCAGAAAATGCAAAGCATTCTCTGAATGGCCCTGTACTGAGCAGCCCATCCCCTGCATTCAGAATACATCAGAACAACCACTCAGCACGGGAACCAGAAGCAAGCAGAGCTCACTGGAATAGAGTCTACTTCAGTGATTTCCAGAGACATCAACCAGGTATGGTATATATACATAGTCCAAGCTCGATCAATGTGATCATATTAAAATACACCATACCTGGAATTCATCTTTAAGGTGACATTTTCAGTCCTACCTCAACAGTTGATAGTACAAGACAACACTATACCTCACCTGCTCACTCCTTACTGTTTGAATTTTTTGTAGTTCAGATTTCAAAGATATGTTTTCTCTTTGTAGTGTCTGAAAAAGAACCACAAACTTACAAAAAGGACAAACATTTTTCAATATTTTTTAACATATACACTAAGACAGTGACCAGGTTAATTATTGCAAAAATTCAAATTATATCATTTTTAAACACTAATCTGCCACATTCATTTAAAAACTACAAAATTGTGGTCACATATTTCAGCACTGCCATCTACAAATACTGCAGAAAACACCCTCAGGCTGGCAGTGCGCCTGTTAATGGCTGTGAACCAAGCAGTCATTAGATGTCTTGGTGTACAAACATGGAAAAGAGCCAATTCGAGTTGCTTTGTATCTAGTGATTACTGCAATGATCAGTCACAAGCACCTTCCGGGATATCAGCCTCATTGCCCACATATGTGTCACCAGCAAAAAAAAGACATAACTTGCCCACCAAACCTTTAGTTAAATCACCTAGATATAGATAAATAGAACAGGACATAGTACAGAGCCTTGTGGAAGACCATTAGTGACCGGTTCCTGCTCAGAATGAATCCCATTTACAACCACACTTTGGTATCTATCCTTTAGCTAACTGCATATCCACTGAATCACCCTAGGTGTCAGGACCCAGATCTGAACCCATAATTTCTGCTGTGTCTGGTAGTATCTTTTCTTGATAAGCCACCTGAGATGCTGTAGAGCTCCATGGACAATTCCTTGGACATTCTTGCCTTGCACCTTGTTTCTAGCAAACCTTGAGCTCTTTGCTCCTCCCATGAGCTTCCTTTTTAAGCCATGATTTTGGACTGCCAGATTAATGTGCTCTCTCTCCAGCCAATATCTTGCTCTTGTCACTCCTGCTGCCATCCGTATCTTTCGCTACCACTCATTACCGACCTTTGCCTTGTTCCTCGACTGCTCTTCCATTTGATGCCAACCTGCAACCACTTGTTACCAACTATTGATTTGTTTACTGACTATGCTTCTTCTTAATCCCTACTTGCTATGTCCGCTACTGGACCCCTGCTTGCTTGTCTCCTGATGAGTCGATCCTGAGGACCTTAACCTGGTACTAACAAGCAGCTAAACCAATCTCCTCCACCAGGAGCTCTAATGAATACGAGTTAGTGCTCAGACCTCGCACCTCGGGTAAGAGTGCGTCATCCGCCAAGGTAACCTGCTTGTATACTTATCCTGATGACCCCTGCCCATGAAACAATAGCTACAGGAGAAGTACAGCCAAAGCTCTTTTGGCTGTACTTCTACTGTGGATCATAGGACTGCAGTTGGCTCTGCACTCCTGTGACCTGTCTTCAGCTGACAGCAGGCTGAAGCCTGCTGTCAGCTGATGTCACTCAGCCAGTCCAGACTTGAGAAAGATCCTGACTTTAAAGTCGGGATCCACCCCAGAGTCTGGAGCGGCATCTGGCTCAGCCACTCAGCGTTTGGGCTGAGAGCGTGAGCCAGCCGCTCCCTCCCCTCACAATCCAGCGCTCCAATGAGTGGGTGTGTGTGGGATTTTTTACACCACAGCAGACGTGCAACTCCCCAGTGTGACACATACATAGGGAAGCATTTTTCATAAATTTTTCTAGTGGTTTTTTTTTTTTTTTTTAAACACAAAAGAGCTTCCAAACACCTCAGTGTGAATGCAGCCTAACTTGACTACAACAGATGGTATCAATGTTAAATTAATGACACCCCAAAACAGGTTTCAAAACACCGTGCAATTGCAAGAATCGGATTGCATGGGTGTTCATACCCATGTGATCTGATTCCGATGCCGTGAGAATTGAGCCCATACAAAAAGGAACGGGCTCAAATCCCACTACAAAGTATTGCATGTGATTTGAACAGGAATACAGTGTGACTCCTGTGTGAATCGCATGTGATTTCTAGCGCCACTATAGTTTGAGTCATTAGAACCCCAACATTCAGTTAGAATGCTGACTGACCTGTCTTATAAAAGGCACACATCACAGAGAGCCGCATCAAATCAGCAAAAAAAAAAAAAAAAAGGGGGGCTGAATAGATGACACAGTAAACTTCTTACATGAACCTATCTGTATCTGCACTAAGGAAGAAGTGTCCATACTAGACACTCCTTACTAGGAGAACTCACTTCCACTGGCCCTCCCCTACCAACCGTATCTACCACACTGACAAGTGCATGGCTGAGAAACTGTGTACAGAGGTGGGTAGAGCCTGATGGGGAATGGAGAAACTAGTTCTCCATCAGGCCAGCTTTACTCCTGATTGGCAGAGCATGGAAGTGAGCAGATCTATAGTTGCTATGCAGTACAGTAGTGGTTTCTGCTCACTACCACATGCAGTCAATCAAAGGTAAGGTGGACCTGATGGGGAACTAGCCTCTCAGTACAGGGATACTGCTGTACTGTGCAGGAAGCTGTCACATGACATATAGTTTATAAATGTACATGCATACAAGGCCCATTACACTAAAAACTCTACTGTGTAGTGGTCATGCATTTGAGCCTTGATGATCCTTGTATATCTGCAGTCACGGCACCTCTGAACAATAACCAAAGACTCTCTGTAGTCGCTTATGATGCAAAACCCTCACAGTGCTCCTGGTAGCCACAGACCACTTGATTTAAATTGCCCTGGATTTAGATCACAAAATGGAATTTAAAAGTAGCAGTTTTATATATATTTTATCCATAGCCAAAATAGTTGCTATTTTCCGCAAAACAAAAGGATTTAGTAACGCCGATATGCACAACTGACTCATATGACAGGTCTGCTTTGACAGCTTCAAAGTATGTAATTCCATTATGTTTACCTTTAGCTCCTCTCCACTGTTGGCAAAATTGGCTTGCTCAAGAGCCACAGCATCTCTCATCTGCTTTATTTCCTTTTCCTTTTCTCCAATGCTGTAAAAGTAAAATATTTCAGGTATTGCCCCATCTTAGATCATGCCAGACAATAAAAAAAAAAAATCCAGGGCAAAAATCTGTAAATTAACTCAAAACAAGACCAGCAAAAAAAGCTGTTTTTCTCAAAGGGGAACTTCTACAAAAATGCAGAATTTTATCATGTACTGCTGTTGAAGTCATAAAAGCTACCATCACTCACTATGGGTGTATGGAACATGTGCAAAACTGAGCGCTTTCCTGACACGCACAGAAACACCCGCCCTTTAGCAGCAATGGGCCAGTGCTATTTATACTTAATGGCACCACCTCGCATCTGCAAAGGTGATTTTGGAAAAGGGTTGGGGACTTTTTTTTGCATGTTTTTCACACTTAAAGCAGCCCACTGAAATGAATGGGCTGCCCTACATATGACATGCAGAAATGTGTGTGCACCTGCATGGTGTGAGTAGAGGGGCAAATATAAAAGAGCAGATAATGTTCTCCATTGCACACAGCACAGTAGGCCTGCATTTTACAAATCCACAAAACACAGGCCGTGGTGTAGAGCATCAGTGTTGGCAGTATGCAAAATTAATTGTTTTCTGCATTGCACTTCAAATAAATAAGAAACACTAAGATAGGAGTAGAGACTGATACTGTGACTGGTGCCAGACTCTACACACAGTTTTCTCCTTTTTAATGAAAATTAATTAGGATGTGTTTGCTTTCTTTTATAAATTGCCACTAAATATAATTAACACTTTTAAGTCAGAAAAAAAGGTAAAAAAAAGGTAAAAAAAAAAAAAAAAAAGGGGGGAAATGTATTTTTTTTTACAAGGAACTGCTCTTATTTCATGCATTAAAAAAATGACATTTTTACAAAATGACACAAAAAATGTATTCATAAATCACATTGTGTTGATTAAATATTAGTTGCTTGCTAAAACAACTTACATTTTTTGCAGTTCCTCTACAAGGACCGTGGCTGAAGCCTGAAAAATAATGTGCAGGGTGTTAGTTTTGAATATTAGTAGACCATACTTTTAAAAATGCACACAGAGTAAAAGCTGTCCACAAAATATTTGCTAGCAAATAAAAATCTTGTTATTAAAGCCGAGCTTCAGGGAAGCACTTGCGTACTACATTAAACTATGGATATGGGTAGATTTGTAATGCTCTGCAGTCCGGCTCAAGATCCAGGCACACAGAACACTCAGATCCTCACCTTCAGTGTAATAACACATCTTGGTCACGAAAACGACTCCATATCACTCCTACTAACTGCTAAATGTCTCATTCCTCGCCTGTGGAACAGGAACGATGCCCTACTCTACTAGAATGGAAAAAGTGAGGGAAGATAAAGCCATAGAAGTAAAACGATGAGTTCACAAGCTCAGATAACTATGAGAGGATTTACAAAATATGAGTTTGTTGGCTATATTATTCTCCACAGATCACCAAATTATCAATCTATGCTAGGTCTACACAGGACTGCTAGGACTGTATAAAATCCCTCCTATTGTTTTTGTTTACATAGTAATAGTACAGATTAACTAACTCCATAAGATATAATTGTTGGAGCTCCAAGTTATTTTTTTAAGGGTGGAAACACTCCGCATCTTTACCACTGAACAATCTGATCTACCAATTCAAACTTCTTGTTAAAGCGCAAAACTGGACTCCAATTATAAAAGAACTTCACCCAAAAGGGAAAGTTTTTGACTCCATTTCCAAGTCCTGAGCCAGAGAGTAGTGGAGGAAGGACTGGGTGAAGTCAGCCGACACCGAGCTAAGCGAAGGAGGAGAGCACCGTCCAGGAGTTGGTACTGCTGTCATTGGGGAGGTTTTAAAAAAAAAAAAAAAAAGAAGAAGAAGATACTGGTCGGATCTGCGCAGAGAACAGACCCAAACCGCCCCATCCCTCCCCACAACTTCCCAGAACTCCTGCTGCCAGACACAAAAATTCTCACAAAATCCTGTCTTGAGGGACTGCAGACTCCAGATGCTGCAGATTTTACTGTGACAGTTTGAGCAGAGGGGGAGCTGGATGAGGAATCTCATTGTCAGATGGGGTGGGGGAATAATATGACATTACCAGGATGGAGGGTGGTGGGGGAATCAATAATTCCTTGGGGGGCCATGTATCGTTACTAGGAGAACGGCACCTGATGAAGGTGGGGGGGTTCAAGGGTAATCTGTCATTACCTGGTGGGGAAAGGGGGTCATCTGTCATTATTTAATGAGGGAAGGGGGTCATTACCAGTAGAGGAAGTCATCAGTCTTTATAGGAGGAGGGAGTCATTAATGATTACCTAAAGTGGGGGGTTGTTGAAGGAGGAGGTAATCTGTAAATATAAAGAGGAGGCAGGAGGGCATGTGTCAGTACCAGGAAGGGGATGTTACTTTTCCCTAATATCCTGCACCTCCATATCACTGCATCCTGGCCACGAGAGAGGTAATTGAGTGCTGTTTAAGAACGTATAAAAGAAAAATGTTTAAAAAGAAAAAAAAAAAAAAGAAGGTGTGATATCCGCAGTGGCACACTCTCCGATCAGCCGCCCAGCCAGACATGTACAATACCCCCTTCCCACCCCTGCATGTGCACACAAGCTGGGGGCAGGCAGGCCACACGGAGCTGCTGGGTGAAAGCGTTGGGCTTGTATGTGGATCTGGAAGTCAGAGGGCCTGCTGAGTTTCCTCTTTTACATACAAACCTACCACTTTCACCTCAACAGCTCAGAGTGTGGCCTGCCCCCACCTTGTGTGAACGTGAAGATGGCAGCAGGAGAGAGAGAAGAGAGACAGCCACCATACAGCTATCATATCTTGGCGCACGTTGGGGGGCCCCAGGAAAGCGTTTGCATTGGCGCCCACAAGCTTCAAGCTACACAGCACAGTGGTCTTTACCTGCACTATACAGATGGGCATAGGAGATTCCAGCCAGGGCAGTGCAGTAATAAAACTCAGTAGTAACAAAAAGTCAACAACAAACCAGCTAGGGGACGATTTATCTGTTCCAAAATGTTTCTAAAAGGATAAGTTCAACTTTGGAACACATGTTAAATACTCCACCCTGCCGCTTGATCTCACCCCCCACCCACAGAGTTCTGTGAATGAATGAACTATAACTCCCGACAGCCTTAACGACTGTCAGCTTGTAGTCCTCAATGAAGTACTACTGTGCTGCGGAGCGCCATTAAAGAAAAGAGTTGATCCCAATTTACAAAAAAAAAAAGAAGGGGGGGGGGGGGGGAATTGGGAATTGGGAGGCTTTTATGAAAGAAAGAAACCCTATTGGCCTCTTCCATCAAAAATGCTACTTCTTGCCTGTCAGCGGTAATGTGCACTGACCAGCACATGCGCAGCTCAGCTTATATTTATGGCACCCCTCTTTGTCCAAGTGGATGTGACTCCAATGCACATGCCCAATAGTGATGTCATTGGGGCAAATGCCATCCAAGGAGCCGAACATGAAAGGAAGACCGGGTGAAGACAGAAGCACTCATGACCAGCAGGAGCACTGACATCGCACTGCTGAAGGACATCATTTGAATGAAGTCAGCCATAATGTGCAACTATGAGGTACATACTACCACATTATGGCATAAAGCTCCTGGGGGACGTTTTATTAAAAAAAAAAATAAAGCTTTATACAAGTCTACCTGCCTGCACCTGGGTTTATAACTTTTTTTTTTTTTTCTTTTTTTTTACCTGAGTTTGCACTTGTGAAATGTATTTTTGAATCTGGATGTTCATTGATTCATTCTGTTTCCTTAAACCCTGCAATAAAGTATTCGAGGAAAAATTAAAACTTCCGAGTTTTTATATAAACAGGTTCATTTAATGCCCCCATCCCCAGCAGCTCATTTCCCCCTCAACCCTCGGCGTTCTGTTCAGCTGTGAGCAGAAGAGAAAATATTTAGCACTTCTGGGTGTGGATGAGCATGTGATTTGTTCCCCTTCCACTAATGTGACAGCACTGGTGCGTGGCCCAATGCAGTCAAAAGAGGGTTGAGAGTACTTCAAATACAAATTATACAGGGTTTCCTTTGTTTTTCAGCACAGCAGAAGAGGTGCACCGAAAAGGAAACCATAAAGCGAGCCTGCTGCTTTGTCCAAAAAACAGGTTTGGTATAAGTTGAACTCCAGGCAAAAAGCTAAATTGCTAATTTAAATGTGTTTATTTACCCATTAAAGGATCTGCAATTGTGTACAGCAAAACGTATAGTAGTCACGTCTTTGCCACAAGTTATATTAACCACTTGCACTCCAGAGGATTTACCCCCCTTCCTGACCAGGCCATTTTTTTTACGTTACAGCGCTGCATTACTTTAACTGACAATTGCACAGTTGGGGGGGGGGTTGGGGGGGGGGGGGGGGGGGGGGGGGGGGGGTGGGGGGGGGGGGGGGGGGGGGGGGGGGGGGGGGGGGGGGGGGGGGTGGGGGGGGGGGGGGGGGGGTGGGGGGGGGGGGGGGGGGGGGGTGGTTGTGGGGGTGGATGGTGGGGGGGAAGTTGTGTGTGGGAGGGGGAAGATTTGGGGGAGGGGGGGGGGGGGGGGGGGTGGGTGGGGTCATGAACGCTGCACAACGCTGCACCCAAATTACAGTTATGTCCTTTTTTACCCACAAAAAGGGCTTTCTTTTGGTGGTATTTGATCGCCTGTGCTTTTTTTATTGCACTACAAAAAAAAAAAAAAAAAAAAAACGAAAATTTTGAGGAAAAAAGACACTTATTTTTGACCTTATGCAATTAAACATGTCCAGTAAAAAAAAAATTTTTTTAAAAAAAATCAAATTTCGTCATAAATTTAGGCCAAAATGTATTCTGCTACATGTCTTTGCTAAAAAAATAAATCCCAATACGTGTAAATGAATTTGTGAAAAGTTATAGCGTTTATTTATCTTTACTAGTAATGGCAGCGATCAGTGACTTCTAGCGGGACTGCAGTGGGCATTCTGACACTGGTAGGAACTGACTTGGTGTTACTTAATACATGAAATACTCAGTGCATATAAAAATCACATGAATAAAGTCCCAATAGCAAATCAAGGTCCACAATCCACTTACAATGTGACAGTGCTCCAATTCATTTCAAATGTATGGATTAACTTCTATGATCCACTAAGTGACGGTACTTCCAGTATGGAGCCACGGACCAGATGTCCAGGTAGTTACATTACGCTTACATTACGAGACTACAGTTATAAAATGGGTGCAGCTAGAGGGCTCTTTATGAGCGCCACCCTTTCAGTACCAAACTTAAGGAGGGTCCCCAAAGGTGCATAAGTGTCTGAGGAACCAAGGAATTTGGCCATGATGGATGTTTAGCGAGAGCGCAGCCTGACCTGAGATCCAAGGACCCAGATGTACCTGATGAGAGAGGAATTTGCTTTCATGCGTACCTTAAACGCACTTCTGGTGAGTGCGTATTTCACTTATTTCCTGTTCACCTGTGGATTATTTATCGTGGTTTGAAAAGGAGATACGACAGAATTTGTATATCACACTCCTGGTGTGGTTTTGGGACCATAAACTGAACCTTTAATTATGATCTAATAAGATTATTATTTGCACACTTTTTTCAATTCATGTTCATATAGCTCTACTGGCATTATTAGCGCTGCACCCTTTTTTCTATATATATTGTCTTGGAAGGTTATGTTGGTTACCTTTTTGGTGTTCTAACAGCTTGCATCGAATTTTCACTACAGTGGGCGCTCGCTATACAATCTATATTTAGTTACATTACGCTTGTTACTTCTTATGTTTGTGGGTTGGAATTTGGCATATTTTTTCAATAAACGTTAATACACAATGCAAGGATTTTTTCTTTTCCCCATGGGGATGCAAAGAGGAGGAGAAGGCACCGCTGATTGGAGTATAGTGAATACCATTATGGAGCAATTATACAGCAGGAGAAGCACTGCCATCTTGAGTCCATAATAGGGAATTTATCAAGCATATTAGACCTGTATACGTTGATATATAGGTCCTGTTCTCAGGTGAGCGGCCATCCATATGTGTGGTGGGACACGCTGGTGACACATACAGTTATTAAGATCACGGAAGTTAATCCATACGTTTGAAGTTAACTGGAGCACGGTCACATTATAAATGGATTATGGACTTTGATTTGCTATTGGGACATTATTTATTCATGATTTTTATATGCACCAAGTATTTTGTGTATTGGGTGTTATATTTTCCATCTCTGCCAATCCCTTCACTGGCTCCCGATTGCCCAGCGCATCAAATTCAAATTACTAACTCTGACCTACAAAGCCACTTACAACGCCGCCCCAAACTACCTAACTGACCTGATACCCAAATACCACCCTACCCATGCCCTTCGCTCCACAGAGGACCTCCTACTCTCTAGCTCCCTGGTCTCCTCATCCCACACCTGATTGCATGACTTCTCCAGGACTTCCCCCATCCTCTGGAACTCCCTACCCCAATCCATACACTGTCAGCTACCCTCCTCAACTTCAGGTGCACCCTGAAAACCCATCTCTTCAGGGAAGCCTACCCCACCCTCACCTAACAACCGATCTCCTCCACTTCTCCCACCACTCCATCCCCCACAGCCACTTCCTCCTGTACCACTTCACCTCCCTTCTAGATTGTGAGCTCGAAAGAGCAGGGCCTTCTAACCCCTTGTGTATTGTACTGTTACTGTTTTGTCTCATGTTCTGTCCCCCTTGCTATTGTACAGCGCTGAGCAAACCCTTTGGCGCTATATAAATACTGTATAATAATAATAATAATATATCGTATTTGCCGGCGTATAAGACGACTTTTTGACCCTTGAAAATCTTCTCAAAAGTCGGGGGTCGTCTTATACGCCGGTACACATGTTTAGGGGGGCTGCGGCATTAAGTACAGGGGTTTGCAGGGGCTGATGTCTCTTACCTGGATCCAGTCCCACGACGATCCGGTCCAGGAAGCGCGGCGTCTCCTTCAGTTCGGCCACTGGATGTTCGTGCGGCTGCTCAGCTCCGCCTCCTCACCGGTGATTGGCCGCCAGAACTGTAGCTCAGGAAAGGCACACAGGCGGCCAATCACCGGCGAGGGGGCGGAGCCGAGCGGCCCCGCGAAAATTGAGTGCCGGAGCAGCAGGTAAGTGTTCTGTGTAGAGGTGCTGCTGCAACCACATATGCTGGCTGCAGCAGCACCATACGAGAACAGGGTCAGCAAGTCTCAGTGGGAGGAATAGTGCCCCATCATTGGTGTCACTGATACCAATGATGGGGCACTATTCCTCCCACTGACACCAACGATGGGGCACTATTCCTCCCCCCCCACTGACACCAATGATGGGGCACTATTCCCCCCCCCCACTGACACCAACGATGGGGCACTATTCCACCCCCCACTGACACCAATGATGGGGCACTATTCCACCCCTCACTGACACCAATGATGGGACATTATTCCTCCCACTGACACCAATGATGGGGCACTATTCCTGCCACTGATACCAATGATGGGGCACCATTCCTGCCACTGATACCAATGATGGGGCACCTATTCCCCCCACTGATACCAATGATGGGGCACTATTCCTCCCACTGATACCAATGATGGGGCACTATTCCTGCCACTGATACCAATGATGGGGCACTATTCCTCCCACTGACACCAATGATGGGGCACTGTTCCTCCCACTGACACCAATGATGGAGCACTATTCCTCCACTGATACTAATGATAGGGCACTATTCCTGCCACTAAATGCCAATGATGGGGCACTATTCCTGCCACTAATACCAATGATGGGGCACTATTCCTCCCACTGACATCAATGATGGGGCACTATTCCTCCCACTGGTGTGCATTGGAAGAGGGGTAGTCTTATACGGCGAGTATAGCCCAAACACTACATTTTAGCAGGAAAAGTAGGGGGGGGTCGTCTTATACGCCCAGTCGTCTTATACGAGGGCAAATACGGTATGTAATAAAGTATTATGGAATAGCGCAAGGTGTGAGATCACTAGCAGTGGTTGCAGCAACTCTTGGCAATTTATTATTTTTAGCAGGTGGGTGGCACATTTATTTAAGTTAAAAAAATCAGCTGCTAAAAGCACTTAAAAAAAAAAAAAAAAAAAAAAAAAAGTTAAAAATCGCTTTAAAGTATATCTCCAAGTATGAAATCAATCAAAAAAAACCTTTGCAATTTTTTTTTGTTCTCACACATATTAAAAATTAAAAGGAATATTTGTTATCTTTCTAGGTGTTTGTTTGCAGCAGGTTTTGGGCAGACTGCAAGCTACTCTGAACAATTTGAAATGAGAGCAAACTTAGTCTGCCCTCACTGACAAGCAGCATAGCAGAGAAAAACTCCAGTTTTGGAGTTTTCAGAAGAGAACTAGTAAAACGGTAAGCAATTTCAACCCCATCGAGCTGCCACCTCCCAACTCTTTAAGATGTTCTAAATGCAGGGAGATGCAGGCAGGCATTCTGAACATGTGAATGCTGTGATTGGCAGTCACAGTGGTCACATGATCGGAAAGCTCCCGATTACAAGTATACATTGGGGGCCTTCTGGTTCCCATCGGTACCTGTGAGGGGAGCATGCAGGGAGTGCGCTCTTAACACAGAAAATGTTTAAACAGAGATGCATGGGGGGGGGGGGGGGGGGGGGGTGCCACTAAGTGCAGTATTAAAAAAACTAATTTAATAGACAAGTGGTGATGTACACTCACAGAAAGAGAAGGATGTCGCTTGTCATGAGTAAAAAATCACCGTCAGTCCTTCCCAACCAAGCCTGCCCAAGGACTTCCGATCTCACAGCTTTCAGGCTCCTCTCCACCTTTCCATCGATGTCTTCAGTGAGACACAGATGGATCCTATAGGTTGGGTAGGACTGACGGTGATTTTTACTCATAAGTGACATTCATATCTTCTTTTTGTGACATCATCCCTTGCCTATTAAATTAGTTTAATACTGCACTTAGTGGGGTCTCCCCTTGTTTCTTTCTTGTTCCCTATATACAGAGCTGGCATAATCTGAGGATGGCTGCCGGTGATGCTGCTGTTAATTAAAGGATTAATGGACATTCTTGGACTTTTAGTTATTTGTTAGCACAGGACCTAGTAACTAATCCCTTTATTGTGTCCTTGCTTTTTCCTCTTACTCAGGGACACATATATGTGGTCTCTCGAGCCCACCCACTGAGAGGCTGCATAAATGCGTACCTCCAGCAGGCACTGGTTAAGTGATTTTATGTGAATAAGAACATATAAACACATATAAAGCAGATGTTAGCCCAATTTGGCTGCAAAAGTGGAAATACACTTTATGCAAAACACAAAATGGATTACAACTGTGTATTTAGCCGTTTGCCTGGAGTTCTACTTTAACATGAATTTTGTTAAACACAATACTAACGCTTTCTGTACCTTCAGCTCTTCTTCACTGTTAGCAAAGCTAACACGTTCCAGAGACAGAGACTCCTCCATCTGTTTCATCTCCTTATCCTTCTCTTCAATTCTAAAAAACACATTAAGAAAGGTCACAGTTTCAATAAAGAATCTTCAGTGGCTGAGCAGCCTAGGACTTAAAGCAATCTGTCAGTGAAAAGAGCCTTAAACTCAAGAGAAAGAGAAAAGAGACCAAAAGAAATCTACAGGAAGAACATCAGGGCTCAGGTAAGTTTGTGTCTGAGATTATTTTCCTCTCCATAAAAGTTAATGAGTATGCAAAAGCAGTTTGAAGCAACTCAGAAGCAGCGCAAAACCAACATTGCTAAAAATCCGGGAAATTAAGACTTTGCATTTTAACCCAAGTGTATTTGGGGGACTTTTTTTTTTTTCGAAGACAACAGCAATATTTAGAGAATGGTGACACGTCCACCAAGCACAACAAAGTAGTCATTACAGTCAGGCTCAAAATTTCAAATACGTGACACAACAACAAAAAGACAAAAAAATTCTACTTACGTTTTCTGCAACTCCTCCACAATGACTGATGCAGAAGACTAGAAAAAAAATAGCAAAAGAGAAAGATCAACATACATACCCATTTTTGAACATATATAATAAACACTTGCTTCACACTTTCTTCTCCTCAAATGACTGCAAAAGGAAAAAAAAAAAAAAAAAAAAAAAAAGGTAAATTCTTCTTACCTGAGCTTGCACCTGGGAATGGTATTTCTGAATCTGGACGTTCAGTGCTTCATTTTGCTTCAACAAATCCTTACAGACAAAAAAAAAAAAAAGTTAGCCTTCTCTTACATTTTTACATGGCTTCCAGCAATTTATTTGAACTTTTTTCAGTTCACAAGTAATAAGAATTAATAAGAATTCATACAAATTTTGTCAGTTTATTTTGCAAATAAACAAATACAATAATCACTTAAGAAAACCCGGAGTCAATAGTCTCTACGACTCCCTAGAAGTAGTATACAGTGAGGAACAGAAGTATTTGAACACCCTGCGATTTTGCAAGTTCTCCCACTTAGAAATCATGGAGGGGTCTGAAATTCACATTGTAGGTGCATTCCCACTCTGAGAGACAGAATTTAAAAACAAAAATTCAGGAAATCACATTGTATGATTTTTAAAGAATTTGTCTTGCACTGCTGAACATAAGTATTTGAACACCTGCCTGAGAAAATCAGTGTTAATATTTGGTACAGAAGCCTTTGTTTGCAATTACAGAGGTCAAACGTTTCCTGTAGTTCTTGACCAGGTTTGCACACACTGCAACAGGGATTTTGACCCACTCCTCCACACAGATCTCCTCTAGATCTGTCAGGTTTCGGGGCTGTCGCTGAGCAACACAGAGTTTCAGCTCCCTCCAAAGATGTTCTATTGGATTTAGGTCTGGAGACTGGCTAGGCTACTCCAGAACCTTGATATGCTTCTTACGGAGCCACTCCTTGGTTATCCTGGCTGTGTGCTTTGGGTCGTTGTCATGTTGGAAGACCCAGCCATGACCCATCTTCAATGCTCTGACTGAGGGAAGGAGGTTGTTGCTCAAAATCTCACAATAAATGGCCCCATTCATCCTCTCCTTAATACAGTACAGTGCATGAAACCATGACGGCGTAGTGTTCTACTGACAGTGACCTTTGAAACTGTGGTCCCAGCGCTCTTCATGTCATTGACCAGCTCCTCCCTTGTAGTTCTGGGCTGATTCCTCACCTTTCTTATCATCAATGATACCTCACGAGGTGAGATCCTGCATGGAGCCCCAGTCCGAGGGAGACTGACAGTCGTCTTTAGCCTCTTCCATTTTCTAACAATTGCTCCAACAGTTGATCTATTTTCACCAAGCTGCTTGGCAATTGCCCCATAGCCCTTTCCAGCCTTGTGGAGGTCCACAATTTTGTCTCTGGTGTCTTTTGACAGCTCTATGGTCTTGCCCATGGTAGTAGTTGGCGTCTGACTGACTGTGGGGTGGACAGGTGTCTTTAAAGAGCTCAGACAGGTGCTACTAAGTTAGATTAATGAGTGGGGTAGAGGTGGACTTTTTAAAGGCACAGTAACAGGTCTTTGAGAGCCAGAATTCTTGCTGTTTCGAAGGTTTTCAAATACTTATGTTCAGCAGTGCAAGACAAATAAATTCTTTAAAAATCATACAATGGGATTTCCTGAATTTTTTTTTTTCTAATTCTGTCTCTCAGAGTGGGAATGCACCTACAATGTGAATTTTCAGACCCCTGCATGATTTCTAAGTGGGAGAACTTGCAAAATCGCAGGGTGTTCAAATACTTCTGTTCCTCACTGTATATCAAATATTCATATGCATTACCACCAATATTTTTTCATATGAAATGTGTTTAAGTCCTGAACCTCCTAAATATTTATAAAACAATGCATTCAGCATTTCCCCAGAGAAATAGTTATTTTAAGCTGACACTGGGAGAATAGGTTCATATAGGAGTCAGGTGAAAACCTGGAGGACCAAGGTTCTCCACAATTACCAAGTGTCAGCAGGGGTATCACAACAAACATCTTTGTTAAAGAAAAGCCAAACAAGACAGTACCTGCACCTGAATCTGAAGGTTGTCATCTTGCCCTGCCTCCATGAGCTGCATGAGTCTCTGCTCCAGTTGCTGGTTGCTCACCATAGTGTCCGTTAGCTTGCTGTGTAGACTCTGAATTTCTGCATCCTTGGCAATAAGCTTTGATTGAAAATCTGTAAAAAGGAAATGTCAGGTGATTACAAAAAAAAGACAAAAGAGGGCACATAATCGCATTCATAATCAGCAATAAACCGGCCTAATAAAATATACAAGCTACAAACTTCTCTTAGGGTTCATGTCAAAAGGCATTTGCTGGGTAGTCCATTAGAAGAAACGCAGGTGCGTTTGAACAGAAACCAGGTTTGACATGAAAATGCTGCTTTTGACCAGCTTTCAAATTCAAATGCACCTCAAGAGGACATGCTGCACCCAGAGAAATGCAGTGGAACACAAAGCAGGGACCCCTAAACTGCTAAGCGGGCTGCTCCTTTAAAGTCTATTAGATTTCAGTGACCTGCATTTAACACACACGTCAAGTGCAGGAAAACCATGCCCTTTGACTCAAGTCCTTCAATAGGCTATCACTGGGAGGATGAGGGAAGGCAAACTGCTACAGACAATAAGTGCAGGTGAGGTGCCCATAGTTGCAAAGTAGCCTTCAAAGCCTTCCTGTCACAGCTAAATGCTAGGCTGTTCAAAGAGGCAAAGCTCCCACACTTCAGGGGTGTTGGAGCTTGCTGCCAAGTCCGTCTACCACACATTCCTACTGGGACATCTTCTCAGGCCCTCTTACATCTGTAGGGCAGGAGGTGAAATAGAAATCTCTACAACAGGACACACACAGTTAAAAAAAAAATAAACAGGAGAGGAGGTTTAACTTTCCTACTCTAACCAATTCTAAATCAGTTTTGCTAATAAATACTTTTTACAGAACCAGAAAATGCATGACTCCATTAACAGAAAATTATCTGAAGCATTGAGTGCTAGATCCTTTTTTTTTTTTTTTTTTTTTTTTTTGCCCATTGACTTCCTGGCTTTGGGGATTTCAGACAGAGTACACTACAGTACCCATCTGATGTAAAGTGAAAGATTACTATATTTAGAAAAACAGAGAACAGAGCATTAATTATTCAAAAACAAATGTAGTTCTGCCATAGCCAGCATACAAACTGTTCCAGCAGTATGAACAAAATCCAACATACAAGTGTTTTGTTTAAATCTCATGCTTATGAGCTTTGTTGTAAGCTGACTTGCAGCACTATGTATAGTATCGTGCCTTTAGTTTGGTGGACAAGCACCTGAAAGGCAATCTGTCATTTCCTAATCAGCCATGACCTGCCGATTTGTTTCTCTGTTATTCTAGGTATGGAGGAGCATGTGGCCATCGCCTCTTATTCCCAGGACATGGTGCATATGACTGAGTGATCAATTGTCACATCTCAACATGGTCAACAAGTGGGGAAGGGAGAATGTAATTAATCCTGTGTAAGCTCCAATATGAGCAGGGCCCTCGATCCCCTCATGTTTTGCATTGTATTGGTATTGTTCTGTCACATGTTCTGTTCCCCTCTGTAATGTACAGCGCTGAGCGAACTATTGGCGCTTTATAAATACTGTATAATAATAATAATAATATGGAACTAACAAAAAGATAGGATCCACCAATTCAACAGACAGTGTGGTGGTTGCTGAGTTTGGAGAAAGTAACAGGTTTTAGGTTATATCTTTGCCAGTCGCTTACAAACCCCCAAATGTGCTATATAGTTCTTTAAGTCTTTTTTAGGATGAAGCTAACATTGAACCCTTTAAAAACAAACCCCATTTATTTTACAATCCAGGACTCTACCCATTTTTAAAAATACTGACTGAAAAAAAGAAAGGAGGTGAGAAAAAGTTCACCTTGCTGAGCCTTTTCTGCATCAGATTCTCGTTTCCGTAGATATGATTCAATTTCTTCCCATCTTCTTTCTGCGTCCTGTATCTTAGCCTGTCATTCACAGTAGATCAGAAAAATAAAACTGAGAAAACTATGCAAGAACAATTCCAATAAACCATACTGCATGTATAAGAAAGAAAAAAAAAATCTGCACAATAAAAACTCGTTCGAAAACTAAACAAGCACTGTGGAACATCTTTATTGCACAAGCAAATTTAGCATTTCATATTCACTTTTTGACTGTCTCCAATGAAAATTCCATACAGTTCCACAATGGCTAGCTACAAGTGATTAACATGAAGAAATCATTCGTAATATGACCATTTACCAAACAAAAAAAGTCCCCACAAATTTTTACACAGTTGAATTTTTAATTATATTTATAGTATATTATGACGCATGAAATATTTTTTCATAACTGAAGCAATGATTACTACACCATTGTTCATTTAGCCCTGATAAAGAGGGGTCGATTAGAAAGCCCAAAAGGGGGTGGTAGGTCCTTTTACGGTTTTATAATGAAAAACTCTTCCTGGTCTCTGAACATTAGGTCTAGTACTACTGTAACTAAACAAAGTAGGATTTTGGCATTCACAATGCTTTACTTGGAGTCCTTTGCAGGACACAAGAAGTCTTTCACCTTTGGGTTATACCGCTGCCTACAGGAAGATTAGACACTGGCAAACAAAAACTGTAGGTCAGCCCAGGATAACATTTACTACTGTCAGTATGCCTCAGTTTTGCAGCAAAGCGGTATTGACAGTATGATCATAAACGTAGAGGAGTGGGAAAATGTGTTGCTCAATGGACTCAAAGAAAGGATTTTGTGGGGAGTACAAAAATGCTAATTTCTTTCTCATCCATTGAGGGACAAAGGAAGGCATTCACCTTTGAGTAGTCCAAAAGCAGCATGTGGGAAACATAAACAAGGATTTAGAGGCCCAAGAAAAAAAAACTGAAAACTGACTAAAGCATTCAGCTTAAAAGACGGCTGAAGATGGCATCACCTTAGGCCACATAATCCACCTGGTAGAACTAGAGAAAATGTAAACCATAGAACAGTTGGCAGTCTTTCAAATCTGGGGAACGGTTGCTTGATGCCGAAAAACACCAACAGAACAAGTAGAGTGCGCTTTGACAAGACTGGTACTCAATCTTTCAGACCATAGGCTTGGATGGTTAGTCTGAGCCTCCTAGGGATGGTGAAATAAGAAGCCAGGGTATTCTCACAGGGACCATCCAGGATGACAAAAAAAAAAAAGGGGGGGGGGGGGAAATCAGTCTTTCCAAAGGAAGCAGTGGTTCTTACGACTTGAACAACATTCAGACAACAGGTGAAAATTTCCTTTTAGTCAATTGGAGGTAGACAGAAGTACAGAAAAACGATGTCCTGTTGAGACAAAAGGCAAAAACTATCCTAGGCAGGAGGGAAGTCCTGGTCCACGAAGCCACATTGTTCTTAGAAAAACTAGAAAAAGTTATTTGCATGAAGAGGTTGCAAGTTCAGACACTTCTCACTAATAAGTGCACTGTCACTTTAAGATGCTATTCATACTAATGCAGATACGTTTTCCTAAAATTAGTGCAAAATATGAATAAAATTAAGAACAAAAACAAAGATCAATAAAACGACCATATATGTAAAATAGAGTGCAAACAGTTCCAAAGTTGAGAATACCGAACTATGAATCAATCCGAATAAGTGCTTTCCAGAATGACACCAGTGCTCACACGCTTTGCTGTGAAACAGCCACAATATCCCCAATGGAAGTCAGGTTTGATATGGCTCCAGACAGATGGAAAGACTGCAACTAATAGAAACCAAATTTGTCTCTTGGTGCTCCAGCCACAATATCTCAAACAGCTACTCGGGTCTGCTATGGTTACTTTCATATAGCATATGAAATAAAGAGACTTATAGTAAACAAATCTTAAAATCATAAAAATGTATTTCAATAATTCACAGGTAAATGGGAAAATCGCAGTTTGCACAAACCAAGATGATCTCACAAACCTAGACTCCACCCAACATGTTACCACCACATAGTCATCATCAAGGAATGAGAGTTCGTACACCAAGCACAGGGAATCCCTTTATAGTTTTTCATAACAGTTCAGGCACTTCCCTCACAGAGGTGATGGCAATAAGGAATACCACATTGTGGGTTAGAGTAAAAGGAATGTCTCTAAATACGTACAAACTGCATTTTTCAAGTGCATAGAGAAAACCAGATTGAGATCCCAATGCATCACAGGGAAACAACCAGAGGGACCTACATAGAAGACTCCCTGTACAAAGGTCTTCATCAAGGAGTGAGAGACCAACTGTCTCTGAATCAAGATTGAAAGAGCAGAAACCGGACCTTTGTTAGTGCTAGGAGCAAAAAGATGGGTTCAGAGGATTCATCCTGTGGGAAACATCTGGGATGGAAGCCCCAAGACACATACCAAGTAATAAATGCCTTTGATATTCAATAATAGATCCCGCAGGAAGCAAACCTTCTAGCTTTTAGCATCATAGCAATCACCAAATCATATATGTCCCCATCTTTCAGAACCAAGATTTTAAGAGCCATGCCATTAAAGCCAGAGACTGTGAAACAAATTGATAAACTGGTCTTTTGAGACAAAAGATGGAACGATCTCAAAGAACCCACAGAGGTCCACCAAGAGTCATAGCAGATCTGTATACAACATCCATCTGGGCCAGCCATAACCCTGGTATTTTTTTTTTCTTTTAGCTGACAGCCAGCTTTCTATCGAAAGTGGTCCTAGTGGCTCTTCAGACACCGGTTTGATTTCCGTAGTGGCAGGAGAAGACGTCCCAGAAAATGCTTGGTCTTCAAGTGGTTAAGGTAAGAAAAACGGTTAGGCTTTATACCCACGTTTACTTATTGGCAGACAAATCAATGTCAAACAAACAGAAAGGGGCAGAGCTAAAGAAAACATGCCACATTCCTGAGAACACCAGCAAAAAGTGTGGTGTGATGGTTGTGGGCAGCATTATCCTGTATTGTTCAAGAGTTTTTTATGTTTACAATCTTAATTTCCTTTATGGGCAGCAGCATAATCCAACAGTATAAGAATTCCTGGGTGAGAAATGAGTTTTGATTAGCGTTGAAAACTAATTTAGTAAAATGTGCACAATCACTATTCCACTGTACATTCTGTCCAAGTCCTGAGAACTTCACATGAACAGGACATATTTTCTCACCTTCAACCCTGCCACCACCTGCTCCTGATTCTTGTTATGCTGTTCCTCCTGAGCCAAACTGCTGTTCTTATCATTCAATTCTTTCACGAGCCTGGTATAATCCTGACGCAGCTTAATAAGCTCATTAGACTGCCTGGGGGAAAAAACAGAGCTCTTCAGGACTATATTGTATATCTAAAAATCTAATGCTATAAAAGAATCATACTATTAAAGCGTCTGATCTAAAGACTGAACACTAAATGGAACACACTTGACAAAAATGCAACATTTTAAGATGTGATGTACAAAGCCTCCTGATACATTCAGAGGTAAAATGAACCGAACCTGACGTGTCATTATATAGGACATAATACTAATATCAGTAGGGATATAAAAGTGAGAGACTTTCAGCTGGTAGGTTTGTTGAGACCTAGAAATATCAAGACATTCAACTTGCGCTTTGTGAGGAGATCCTGAAAGACTACACTTTTACCATAAGTTGTGATAAACAGAAAAGTGTTAAAAGCTGACTTTTAGTGATTTTTTTTTTTTTTTAAACATTACTAGGGGCAGTAGTTACAATGAATGAAGTGTTCAGTGTGCAGGTGGCTGCTGTGTTAGACTGAAGTATTCATTCCTCTGCCCCCAAGGAACCCTTCAGCTCTTCTCTTACCCTATGCTGTGGTGGTTAATATGAGTGGCTGCACCTGTGCCAGGCACTCATCAAAAGTGAACTATGCCTGCCTATTTTTCCTCTGTGCTCCACTCATAGAAGCCATACTGTTGGTTGCCACAATGAAAAGCACTTAAGGAATGGAGGAGGCTGATCGTCCATTCATCTGACCATTCTCCTTGCATTGTGGGAACAAACAGCATAGCATCTATAAATGGAGCAGGGGGGAGGGCATAGTTGGCTCTCTTGACAAGTGCCTGTGCACAGCTGCAGCCTCCCTAAAGAATATGTAAATCTAATATTTCATAATCCTGATATATGTGCCTGCTGCACCATGTACTTGTATGAGAAAGTATCCTGTTCTCGTTATATTGCTTCCTTTGTGTGAAATCTCTAATGTTCCTGCCAGTCCCTCTGCTTCCCTGTTAAAAACCGACCACACTAATGTGCTGGGAACTCAGCCTGCTCTCCTCCAACAATCAGACTTGTCCCTTACACACACCCTCACCCCCACCCAGCCTTTCACTGGGAAGATCAGTGTATTGCTGTTTCTTCTCCCCTGGCTCTTAAGCAGACGAGAAGATGGGGTATGCGATCACTTATAAAAGGAGGGGGGGGGGGAATGTTTATACTTATATTAAAACATATAAATGTTTTACCTTTCACTTCTATTTTAAATTGAATGGGTTGTTTTACAAGGTGACTGTTCACAATTGACCCACCGCAGCACCAAAAACAAAAATCACATCACAGCTGCATGGGGTATCTGGGGGCAGGGGAATGTAGATTTCAACCTAACACAGCAGCTATCAGTACATGGGACACTCTTCATTCATTTTAAGTACCATCCCCAATTGTTTTTTTCTTTTTAATTCGCTAAACTTCAGCCCCCAGCATTCCTATTGGTGAGCTTTTTCTAAAAATTAACAAATTTGAACTATGAATTGAACGATGAAAAAAAAGCAGCTGAACACAAATTTTTCTAACATGTCCTTTCCAAGGACGTCGATTACACAACTGACTTTTGTCGTGCAGGGAAGACCACACACTGATCACAATTTGACAAGGCTCCACTTGCTAGCTTGACTTAACATCTGCAGCTGCTGTCATTTACTCCTACAAAGGTTCTAGAGTGTTCTGCCACAACACAGGGCTTACTTGCAGAAGTACACTTACTTGCTTTCCATCTGATTGGTGGCTGAGCTCACTGCATCTCTTAGGATACCATTCTCCTGCTTCAAATGGGCAAGCTGGTTCTCCAACTGCTCACGAACCTGCTGAAAAACTAAGCACACGAAAAAAAAAATGCCAGATTAATTCCCCTTAATTCCCCTTATACATAGCAAAGTAAACAAGCATCTAGTAAAAACAGAATTGGTCACTTACAGTAATATATATCCACAAATATAACATGTAAAAGCCCAACACCAATTAAAACTTTTTTTTTTTTTGTTTTAAACATCACTTTGGATTGAGTGGTGAAGGTTTAAAACATTTTTTTTTCATTCCCTTTTGGTATTCTGTGTTCCTGTTAGGCCCATTTCATACAGGGTGGACTCTGGTTTGATCAGCAGGGGATCTGTATTCTGATTCCCTGCTGATCAGAGCTGAGCAGGAGGATGAGCCATCTCTGTCCGCTCAGTTTATTCAGACAACACAGACAGAGCCTGCTCTGCTCTATGGGCGGCCAAGTGTAAAAAAAAGACTGTCCATTTACACCTGACTGCTCTCCGATCAGTTGAAGGGGGATAGATCCCGTTCCTTTTTTTTTTTTTTTTTTAAGCAGACTAGATTGAGATAGATGAGTGTAAATGGACGCAAATCCTTTTACACCTGGTGATCCATGAGACTGAATAGAGCGTACGATCAGGTCTGCTTGAAAAACTGACAGGCAAACCTGATCGGATTGTCTGTGTGAAAGGGGCCTTAATGTCAACAGGCAAAAAAAAATAAAACCACAGAGAGTCTGCATATAGATGATGTTTCATACTTTCTAACAGTTGGTATGTTAAATTTTCACTGTCTTAAAAAGCTACTGGCTATTCAACAGTACATTCTATGGTATTTTCCTTCATTCCTTCCATTACGGCTACGTAAAAAGGTTGAGTAGCAAGGTAAGGTTTAAAGGAGCTGGGACAGCACAGACTGTAATTAGACACTCCCAGAAGAGAAGAAGGCTATGATGTGCAAGGAGAGAGAAGGCTGTACCTAGGTAAAGGACACACCAGAACATCATAAGCATACTGCAAATTTATCAAACATAACTTATGGAAAAGGAAAAAAAATGCTGCAAGCAAGAAAATTGATTTTTTTCTCTGTGCTTTTAACTGTCATTTAAGTTTGTGATAGGGTCTCTTTAACCAAGGGCCTGCTGGGAAGAGAAGTATACAGATTCTTCTATTACATGTTGGCTCAGTTTTATTTTTTTATCCTCATTAAGCAGGTCATCCTTGTGTTGCCTTTGTAAGAAAGTCCCCATCCCACTGTCCTGCCTATGAAACCTGAATGTAGTTGTTGCATTCCACATTAATATCACAGCCCCAAAAAAAAGTTTTTCATGGTGCCTTGCTGTTCTTGGGGTTAATTTGGGGAGCTGAAAATTGCATTGGCTACACTGTCGAACATACATAGTTGTGAAAAAAATCTTGCTGATCAACTTGTTGTTCTATTACCTAGTTTGTGCTTTTGTGTACAAGTTAATCAGATATAGTGAGTGTTTACATACTTGCAACTGTAATTTTCCATAGAAAACAGTGTGATATAGTTAGGATTGTAATATAGTTATGATCGACCAGAGTGTACAGTGGTATATGGCATTTATGCTGCATCCCAAAAACTAGAGCAGATAGGGAAAATTGGTGCCATGTGGAATCATGTTGGCCTGTGTCATTACACAGATTTGTTCTATTAAGAGCATTTACTTGGAGAATAATGAACTACTTCTGCAATCTGATGACGATGCTATATAAAATGATACATTTATTAGTAATAATAGGAGTAGCAAAACTAACAAAAGTAGAAGCAATAGCCTGTCAAGTTGCATGGACCATCTCATTTGCCTTTTGCCATAAATGTGTCATTGTGACTTGTTTAACACTCTGGCCTCTTGCTCTGAGGGAGGACGCAATTTATTTATAACCGCGCAGCTACGCACAGGTACGCCTAAGGATGCCTCAAAGGCACCATCTGTTCGCAGATTACATTCGGTCTTGGTATTAGAGGAAGCTGAGCCACAGTTGAGTCCATATCCATAAACAAAACATCTGTGCCTAAGGTTATTTAAAGCAACACTAGATATGTCACCAATAAGAAGACATTGAGGCACTGGGCTGTGATGTACAGCAAGATGAGCACAGCATTACAGTGCTCAGAGAATTCAGCACAAGAAAAACAGGGATCTGCATGACGGAGAGAAAAACTAAACAGACTAGTGAGTGCCACAAATCTGCTCAATATCTACAGATCCATTCATAAAAAGGATACAGAGTGTCTGCACATGAGTAGCTTGTCTATCAACTGTCCCATCAGTGTTAAAGGGAAGACAAGTGAAGATGGCAGGAACAATCCACTGCTGGACGTGGGGGAGCACTGTTTTCCAAAGGATCGGGTAAGTATAGTCGTTCGGTGCGCCCCTGAACAAAACAAGTCAACCCATGCAGTGCGGGCACAGCCCCAGTAAAAAAGAAAAAAAAAAATTCCCAGAGTTCTTCTTTAATGTTTGAAACCCTTGTTTCTAGGTACTGTTCGTACTTGTAAATGTGCATGGGGCAGCCATATTTGTCCACTACATAGGCTGCTTCCTGCTATGCAGTGCTACACAATGAATTTGTTTTCTTTCAAAAATTGTGATAGTAAAGCGGTAGCAAACCCCAACCTTTAAAGTAAAATAAAATAAATAAAATAAAAAAAAAAACAAAAACAAAACCTGCAAGACAATAGCATAATTTGCTAGTATGCATCGCATACTAGCACACTAATAGCAAACTTACATTAAAAAGAAGCTCTCCAGCGGCGCGCTCCTACCATTGCTAGGGCTTCCATCTTCACTCGGTCCACCTTTTGGGTTTGCAAGATCCGGCACCTTGGATGGCTGAGATGCGATAACGTTACTCCCGTGCATGTGCGCGGGAGTCATTTTTTGCTGCATACAGTTTTGAAGCAAATGGCACGGGTATGCGGTCCCCTTAGAGTGCATGTGTCGTTGTCTTTTACAGGTAAATATCTCCTAAAAACAGTGCACGTTTAGGAGATATTTACAGAAAAGTAACAAAAATTCTTAAAGCTGAACTCAGGGATTTCAAAAATAATTCAAAAGCAATATTTTTTTTAACTAAGCCATGGGCAATAGTTTAGCATAAATTAAATATTTAAATGCAAATATTGTTATTCCTAAAAAGGCCCGACTATGAAAGGCTGAAGGGGGGTTGCAGATGCATGATCAATTCATCAATTCAGTCTATGGTACTTTAAAAGCACTGCTTATATCTAATGATTTATGATTTTATGTCAATTTTTTTTTTTTTTTTTAACTTAAAGTTTAACTAAAGGCAAAACTTTTTCTTCAGTTTTGGATAGAGTGGAGAGGGATTACAACACCTATTTGGTTTTTATTGCTGTATGTGCCCTCATTAGGGAGCTTCACCCCTAATAAGAATATATTTTGGATTATCTCCAAAAAAGTAATAGGAGGGGAAATCTTCTGATGGGGACTCTAGTTCTGGTTTCCTGGGAGGCCCCAAGGCAGGGATTTCCTCTCACTTCTTTTTTAAGCTATGGGACAGGAAGTGAAGGTAAACCTTCTCAATGGGACACAGATGGCAGCAAAGAACTGACAGGGGTTATATTTACTCTAACCAGGATAACAAAAAAAGTTTTGCCTATAGTTCTACTTTAAAAGGAATAACTAATGTAATAAACGCAGCAATCTGAAACATCAAAAACATAAAATGAAACAGGCTCATAACAAGTCTTCCATACTTCAAAATGTGAGCCCAACATGTCTGTTTTGCTAAATATAAAGCCAAAGAAAAACAGCTTCACTGCACCACGCTAATCCTGGACTCCCCTTTCCGTACCTTAACTTGCATTTGCTGAGCATCCTGGAAACTGCTGTGTAATTTGCTTTGAAACACTCCATTTTCCTTCTCCAGCACGCTGATCCGCTCCCGAGCCTTTACTTCAACCAAATTTGACTTTTGTTTTTCAGCTACCAATTCCTTTAATGAAAAAACATGAATAGCTGCAAGTTATAATATGCAAGACAAACAAGTATTTATTACGCAACATTGACTGTCAAGATGTCTTCTGTAAGAAGTTGAATGGATTCCTGTATCACACAGTCAAAAGTACCCTGAAATGGGAATGCTGACAAAAATGAACATGCGGTTATTTAAAATAATGGGACAGGCCAGAAAGACATATGACAAGAAGCTGCAAAACTGGCCAAAGTCCCTTCTAAACACAGAAGTAGTGTATGGCTGCTTTGATTTTTTTTTTTTTTTTTTAAACTCACTTTTTTGTTATTTTCCTTTTTGTGTTGCCATGTTACCATCTCCGTTATTGACAATATTTGCTGTCTGCATAATGCTTTGTTAACACCTATAATCAATAGATCAAATCTGATAACATTGCTGTATCAGAAATGGGATTTTTTTTGAAGCAGCAGTTCACCCAACATGGATGTTTGTTTTTCATGGATGCCGAAGAGTTAAAGTGACCCTGTCACCACAAGGTTGGAGATATACAGTGGGGATCAAAAGTTTGGGCACCCCAGCTAAAAATTTGTATTAATGTGCATAAAAAAGCCAAGGAAAGATGGAAAAATCTCCAAAAGGCATCAAATTACAGATTAGACATTCTTATAATATGTCAACAAAAGTTAGATTTTATTTCCATCATTTACACTTTCAAAATAACAGAAAACAAAAAAATGGCGTCTGCAAAAGTTTGGGCACCCTGCAGAATTTATAGCATGCACTGCCCCCTTTGCCAAGCTGAGACCTGCCAGTGTCATGGATTGTTCTCAATCATCGTCTGGGAAGACCAGGTGATGTCAATCTCAAAGGTTTTAAATGCCCAGACTCATCTGACCTTGCCCCAACAATCAGCACCATGGGTTCTTCTAAGCAGTTGTCTAGAAAACTGAAACTGAAAATAGTTGACGCTCACAAAGCTGGAGAAGGCTATAAGAAGATAGCAAAGCGTTTTCAGATGTCAATATCCTCTGTTCGAAATGTAATTAAGAAATGGCAGTCATCAGGAACAGTGGAAGTTAAAGCAAGATCTGGAAGACCAAGAAAAATATCAGACAGAACAGCTCGCAGGATTGTGAGGAAAACAATTCAAAACCCACGTTTGACTGCACGATCCCTCCAGAAAGATCTGGCAGACACTGGAGTTGTGGTACACTATTCCACTATAAAGAGATACTTGTACAAATATGGTCTTCATGGAAGAGTCATCAGAAGAAAACCTCTTCTACGTCCTCACCGCAAAAATCATCGTTTGAACTTTGCAAGTGAACATAAAGACAAGCCTGATGCATTTTGGAAACAAGTTCTGTGGACCGATGAGGTTAAAATTGAACTTTTTGGCCGTAATGAGCAAAGGTACGTTTGGAGAAGAAGGGGCACAGAATTTAATGAAAAGAACCTCTGTCCAACTGTTAAGCATGGGGTTGGATCAATCAGGCTTTGGGGTTGTGTTGCAGCCAGTGGCACAGGGAACATCTCACGAGTAGAAGGAAAAATGGATTCAATAAAATTTCAGCAAATTTTGGATGGTAACTTGATGCCATCTGTGAAAAAGCTGAAGTTAAAGAGAGGATGGCTTCTACAAATGGATAATGATCCTAAACACACCTCAAAATCCACGGGGGATTACATCAAGAGGCGTAAACTGAAGGTTTTGCCATGGCCTTCACAATCTCCTGACCTCAACATAATTGAAAATCTATGGATAGACCTTAAAAGAGCAGTGCGTGACAGACAGCCCAGAATTCTCAAAGAACTGGAAGACTTTTGTAAGGAAGAATGGGCAAAGATACCTCAAACAAGAACTGAAAGACTCTTGGCTGGCTACAAAAAGCGTTTACAAGCTGTGATACTTGCCAAAGGGGGCAGTACAAGATATTAACTCTGCAGGGTGCCCAAACTTTTGCAGACGCCATTTTTTTTTTGTTTTCTGTTATTTTGAAAGTGTAAATGATGGAAATAAAATCTAACTTTTGTTGACATATTATAAGAATGTCTAATCTGTAATTTGATGCCTTTTGGAGATTTTTCCATCTTTCCTTGGCTTCTTTATGCACATTAATACAAATTTTTAGCTGGGGTGCCCAAACTTTCGATCCCCACTGTAGATATATATAGATATATAATCACAATAATTTCAGTGCTCTCCAGCAGCAACAGGTATTCAACCAGGCCAGCTGAGTGGGAACACCAAAAATACCCAGGTGTACAGAACAGAGATAGGAAATATAGTAGGATGATGTCACTGTTGGAATACCTAATATGTAAAGGAGGCCAAGCTCCAGGCTCTACCTATACTGGTGCACTGACCCTTAGGCCTCGTACACACCAATGCAGTTTGCATTTGATCCGTTTGCTGCAGTGCCTTTTGCAGTTTTGCACATGCATTTATGAAAAATGCCCAAAAACCGCTTTAAAAACGCACTACATGTGGTTTCTGCAGCCTCTCCATTGAAGTCTATTGAAATCTATCCAAAAATGTACCATTTTAAAAAAGTCCCTGACCCTTTCCAAAATGCAGTGGATGAAAAATTAATAGGAATGAACGTGTCCCATAGGAAACAATGTTAAATGGACTGGAGTGTGTTTCTGCAAAAAGCACTAAAAACGCATTGGTGTGAACCAAGCCTAAAAGCACCAAATACATGCCCTAATACTGGCAGAAAATGCATGATTATGTCATCATTATCGCCGTGTGCAATTTGAATGATTGATCTGTGAGAGTGTCAGCATCACCAGAGATTAGACAGGTTGGGTTTCATTGTCTTTATATTTTAACATGTAAACAAGGTAGTCATGTTAGTCTGATTCAGAGATATAAGGCGTCATCGTAACATCATTTACTGTAGGAAAACATCATACTTTGGCATATCAATCACTGTGCGATAATGACTATTTGAAATGTGTTAAGGGGAGGGGAAATACACATTTTTGTTTCCCGCATGCATGAACTATCTGCTTTAGCAGCAAAACCTAATGTAATATATTTAAAGAAGTAGGATCACCTTCCTCTTAGGCCAGCCATACATTATACAATTTTCTTATACAACTTTTACTTTAGATTTCCCAAAACCGTATAATATGAGGTCAAACCTAAACACTTTTCAATTTGTATGCAAATTGGGCAGGCTCTTGCACTACATACAGTGAAGGAAATAAGTATTTGATCCCCTGCTGATTTTGAATGTTTGCCCACTCACAAAGACATGATCAGTCTAAAAATCGAACGGTAGGTGTATTGTAACACAGAGACAGAATAGCAGCAACAAATTCAAAAGAAATGCATGTCTAACAAATTATGCACTGATTTGCATGTTCATGAGGGAAATAAATATTTGATCCCCTTCACAAAACATGACTTAGTATTTGGTGGCAAATCCCTTGTTGGCAATCAGAGGTCAGACGTTTCCTGTAGTTGGCTACCAGGTTTACACACATCTCAGGAGGGATTTTGGCCCATTCCTCTTGGCAGATCCTCTCCAAGTCATTAAGGTTTGGTGGCTGACATTTGGCAACTCAAACGTTCAGCTCCCTCCACAGATTTTCAATCGGATTAAGGTCTGGAGACTAGCTAGGCCACCTCAGGAACTTAATGTGCTTCTTCTGAGCCACTCCTTTGTTGCCTTAGCTGTGTGTTTTGGGTCATTGTCATGCTGGAACACCCATCCATGTCCCATTTTCAATGCCCTGGCTGAGGGAAGAAGGTTCTCATCCAAGATTTGACATACATTGCCCCGTCCATCGTCCCTTTGATGTGGTGCAGTTATCATGTTTGACATTTGGGATGGTGTTCTTGGGGTCATAGGCAGCATTCCTCCTCCTCCAAACACGGCGAGTTGAGTTGATACCAAAGAGCTCGATTTTGGTCTCATCTGACCACAACACTTTCAACCAGTCCTCCTCTGCATCATTCAGATGTTCAGTGGCAAACTTCAGACGGGCCTGAACATGTGCTTGCTTGAGCAGAGGGACCTTGCGGGCACTGCAGGATTTCAATCCTTGTCGGCATAGTGTGTTACCAATTGTTTTCTTGGTGACTGTGGTCCCAGCTGCCTGGAGATCATTGACAAGATCCTCACGTGTAGTTCTAGGATGATTCCTCACTGTTCTCATGATAATTGACACTCCACGAGGTGAGATCTTGCGTGGTGCACCAGACCTAGGGAGACTGACAGTTGTTTTGCGTTTCTTCCATTTGCGAATGATTGCACCAACTGTTGTCACCTTCTCACCAAGCTGCTTGGCAGCCCAGTCCAGCCTTGTGTAGGTCTACAATCTTGTCCCTGACAGCCTTGCACAGTTCTTTGGTCTTTGCCATGGTGGAGAGTTTGGAATCGGATTGTTTGATTGCTCCTGTGGACAGGTGTCTTTTACACAGGTAACAAAATGAGATTAGCAGCACTCCCTGTAAGGCTGGCCATACACGATACAATTTTCTTTAGATTTTTGCTTTAGATTTACGAAAACCATATAATATAAGGTCAAACCCAAACAACACTTTCAGTTATATCCAATTAGGCAGGCTCTTGCACTACATAAATAAAACGACCATGCAGCGCTAATGCATAAAGTGATGTATACACAAAACCCTTTGGTGCAGGTGATAAAGTAAAACACCACTTAATCATAGAAAGGATCTTTAAGAATTAATCCAAAAAAGTCCAAAAATACTAATGATGGTGAAAATCTTATAACAAGAGTGCTCTTGCAGTGCACAACACAAACGTTTTTCGGACAAAAGGTGACACAATATGTGACTTCTGTGACCATATTCCTCCCGCAGAAAATGAGTGTAGATTGCACTAACCAGAGAGCGCAATTTATATGCGCCTTTGAGTGTTAACCAACTCCTGGTCATCCGGCTACTGCAAACTGGAACTGGATCACAGAGTGGTCATCAGGCCTGCAACAGCTGGGCAAACATCACAACCTCAGGGACACCAGATATCAGAAGGCGTGTAGTC